GTGGAGCTGAAAGAAGAGCTGATGGATCCCATGAGCTTCTCTGGGTCGAATGTTTATCCCATCATTACTAGTCTGTAAATTATATACAAGTTTAATTAAGTCTACTTCCAGTTTCAGTCACGTATTCCAAAACCAGGACAAGAGTTTAAATGTCATTGTACTTTTTAAACTTTACCACTTAGTTGAGTCTTGAGTGTAATTTTACAGCCATCTGTAAAACTGGGTGGAGGCACTGATCTTTAACATTACTGAAGCAGTGTGAGATCAGCTTGACAGAAAACAGAACAAAAGTCCTTCCAGAAGCCAGGAGAACTATTTCTAAAGACAACATAAAGAACTGACAAGAAAGCTGACAACTTATTTCCCATTTTTCTTGGAAGACATAAAGAAATAAGGGATGGCTCTAGCACAGGGGTGGGCAATCTCAGTCCAAGAGGGCCGGTGTCCCCGCAGGTTTTAGATGTGTCCTCGAACCAACACAGCTGATTTAAATGGTTAAATTAGCTCCTCAACGTGTCCTGAAGTTCTCCAGAGGCCTGGTAACGAACTAATCATGTGATTCAGGTGTGTTGAAACAAGGTGAGATCTAAAACCTGCAGGGACACCGGCCCTCGTGGACTGAGATTGCCCACCCCTGCTCTAGCACCTACTGCCCACCACTGTTCTCTTTTATGCCATTATACTTTTTTACTATCTTTTTTCCCATCTTTCCCAATGCATGTGTAACAGGGGCACCAACCAGTCATATAATATGTACCCACAATGCAGTTTAACAAAGCCAGTTTAACCCAGCTAGCTGCCTGTGACTCCTCTGATCATATAAAATAGGATGATAGCTCATGATGTTCTCCTCCATTCTGATGTTGATAAAAAAAAGAAATGTCTATAGTGTTCTTGTTCATCTACTGCAAATATGTGGCTCATTGTGATTTTAACAGTTTTGGAAGGGGGGATTCAGTTATATCAGGCATTTGCTACACACATATATAGTGGAACAAATTAAAACTGCAATATTAATTTACATGGGTACATTTTCCACAGAGCCTGTCGACAAAAACTTCATAAACTTCCCACTAATTCATATTCACGCCACATTTCTACCTCAGATCTTGCGTATGGATCAATACGGCTCCCGTGCAATGATGAATTCTCCAGTCAGCAATTTCTTCTCTTCATATTACTCCACCAGTGATCCAAGAATAGCTTAAAGTACCTCACGGATGCAGGACTGTCCATCTCTCTTGATATAGAAGTTAAATTTAGAGATAGAGAGAATGAGAGAGAGACAAATATATAACCAGACGAGGTGAGAAGACAATAAACTAGAAAGATGAAAATGAAGTGTGATATTGTGGAATATAGATGTTAGAGAGATAAAGGAAGGAAACTATGGAAAAAGAAGTGAAATAGAAAGACATTGGGAAAATAAAGAAACTGATCTGAGACAGATATAGGGGCATATCACCAGAAAGATGAGTCGAGTAAGAAAGAGAGACAGCTGCCAGTGTTAATCAGTCAGCGGCAGCAGCTCTGTGTCTCTAAGGCTTAATCTGGACCAGACCCTCAGTGCACCCCCTCCCCTCTTTTCTTTAGTCTTCATCAATATCGTCACATACACATCATTTGGGGACATTAATCACAGCCTCTCCTAGCTCGCTGATATCCCATCTGCCTATTGACAATTGTGAGGAGAACGCTCGGTTACTAAAACGTCTAAAGATTGATTAAGTGATTAAGTGTCAGACTTCGGAGGGTTCGAGAAAAGTTCAAGACGCCACATTATTCTCCATTAAAACATAACTTTGTCAAAAAACGCCAAAGTTAAAGCGTTTTTACAGTTTTACAAGCATAATTTTATCAGTATGAAAGAACATCCCATCAACCACTGCCAATAAAATCAATTTTCTGTGTGATCACAGCCATCAAATCAACAGGAAGCAAGATGTGAGCATGTTCATGTTGAACATGAACATGTGAACAGAGTGAACTCAATTCTACCAATTGTAGTAGCTAAATCGCACTAATTCAGCTGTCTGTACAGGAGCAACAATGATGGCTTGTTTAAGATCAGATTAGATTTAAATGCCTATTGTAAACACTACTGTCTTTTAATACTATTACAATAACCCTGAAATTAAATAATAGCACTCACCTGTGCTTTAAAGATTAAGAATTTCTTGTCCTTTATCTCCACGTTGGTAGAATTGTTGAGTCATTGTCTTATATTTCTGTTTGTATGTTCTTGTTTTTACTATTGATCTAACTCAGTTTACTTGTTTCATGCAAAGACTGTATTTAAAAGATGATGCCACCCATTCATTAGTGAAGTCGAAAGCTACAACTTTAGGATTTGTTGGTGTTTCTACGTGCGAAGGGTGAATCATGACGCTCCTTTCTGAAACCTAGAATAGCCAAAATTGACAAAATGGACTTCGTCTTTTACTTATTATAACCTGAAATGAGCGACTGAGCCCATAACCCTATGGCAAAAATGTTTACAGAGGTCACGTTTAAGGTAAGTTTTTCTGTAAACCTGGAAGTTTTTTTTGCAGCCACAGGAATCAAGAGGAACGCAGGAACTTTCACATTTGGCTTCGCTTTTCAGACCCGGAAGCTACGTCCACCTTTTATGCTCTCTGAGTGTTAAAGTGCTGGTGGAAAACTGGGACATGTGAGCTTTCAGAGCATTCATGTGTTGTTTCAAACAGGAAAAATGTTTGCTGCCTCGTGACTACAACAGATACATAGCAGTTATAGAGTCAGTGCAATAGCTTGTAAATGTTAATTTAAAGTTTATATCTACAGCTACATTTGGACATTTTTCTGCTGGAAAACCGCCAGTGAGTGCACGGTTGCAAATGATAGAATGCTGACACTCAGCCTTATTTCCCCCTGTAATTTCACATTTTCTGTACAATTTTCATCCTTTTGCTGCAGTCAGGTTTCTGTTATTGATCTGTGTACAAACTCAAATGTGTAGCAATAATGTTCTACAGCTCTTACATTAACATTTAACAGTGAACCGAACATTGAACATTTAATCCAATCTAACTTTACGTTTGACTGTCATTCTGACCCAAACATGACTCCAGGTTTAATCCCAAACTTTATCCACACTGATATTACCTGACAAAATATATGGAATCTGGATCATTCTTTGAGGGAGTGATGCTGTCTCTCCTTCTCTCCTTCACACTCACCCACACACACACACGCACACACAAGATCCTTCACTGTGACGTCACACAGTACGCACTTTACACACTGCACTGAGTCACTTTGAGTCACTTCACCTCAGCACAGTGAACCCGCATCTGTAAGCAAGGGCAGCAACCACACCCAAATTCTGAGTCGACAAGAACACACCTCTTAAAACAGTGACCTTGTGGTCTGATAAACAACAGAGAGCTTCAGTATCCTAAAGATGCTGTTGATCATCCAGAGAAGACAGGGACAACAAGAAGAGTAATTCTATCTAGCTGAGAAACACCATAAATGTATACAATATTCACACAGCTGTGCAAAGATTTTAGACATGGTGTTCAAATATGATTCCATCGTGCAATACAAACGTAGAAGCAAGCTTGCTCTGCAACAAACAAAGTCCCCAAAACATGCAGCCAAGCACAAAAAGAACAAGTTGTGCTCCCAGTCGCTGATCCCAGCCCTGAAGTCTGAAGTCTAGGGTTACGGGAATAGACACAGGAACCACGATAAGTCCTCTTGGATGATTGGAACAATCCCCCAACAAGTCCCTGAAGAAACCTGAACAACCTGTGCCATTTTAAAGGTAAAGTGTTTTTAAATATTTAAAATACATGAAGTAATCTTGCTTACCACCACATGTTTTGTTCACTTTGAAATGGGATCTAGCTGGGTTCAAACTGTTAAACTTTTGTATTACATGAGTGACTCAAGACAAACTGAAATACCACAAAATGCAATGGATTCAGGTTATAGAAACCTGCTGAGCACCACATGTGGTATGAAAAGGTTCACAGTACTGTGTGCAACATAAACCCACTGAGAGACACTGGAGTAAGGGGCTCAAATGGGTCCAAAAAAGTCACAAAACTTACAGTAAGTACCGTTAGCAGTTTGGTATTAATGATTACGGTAAATGAATTCAGATAACCGCATACCTCTGTTCACTTCTTCCCTCTTCTTTTATTCATGTTGTTCCAGTACAGTCACAAAGTAGAGATAACCAACTAACTCCCACCTGCATGCAAACTTCAGATCAAGACAGAAAGGACAAACAATGGCCCGTGACATGTCTCCGTGCACAACAGGGGTTGTAGTCACTTTTTTTGCAGCAGTGATCAAACAGACATTAGACAGGCTGCACTGCTGAAGCAGTGCATGCTGCTTCAGGCCTTGTCAAACTAAAGCATGAATTGAGTCAATCTACAACCACCCCTTCCAAGACAGCAAAATCCCTCCAGGATTTGGGAAGAAAGGTGCAGAAAAGCGAGAGTAATGTAAAGTCACATAAGGAGACCACAGGCACATTTTAACTTCCTACTAAAATACTGCATAGAACATTACTGTCGATATTTATTCTTGTGAAGTTCTGCTGCAGTGTGCATACGGGTACAGTGTGCAGTCTGTAGCTAGAAACCAAATAAATGATCTCTAATTTAAAGTAAAGGTTACACAGAAGCTAAAACATGCAACCGCGTACCATAGCCCACAAAAAAAACTAGGCCGCTTTCTGTTTCTCAGCTCATTTCTCCTTTTAAATTAGACAATCAGATCCAGCAGGCATCATAAGCACCTTTCCAGGCATGCATCACGTACACATGTAAGTGGAAATAAGACACGAAACGGTCCGTCCCTTTGCCGGATCACTGCGGTACCCTGCACCCAAATGCAGGCCGGCATCCCGGCAAAAAAGGAGGAAAAAAATCCCATGCATCTCGACTCCTTGCTCTCACACGGGGAATGAGACGACAACCAAGGGAAAAGGAAGCATCTTTTTGCGTTTTTATCGGCCTTACCTTTAGCCTCAGTGTCAGTTTTTTGGTTTGGTTTCGTCCTCCTCCTCCTCCTCCACCAAGACGTCGCTGGCTCGAATCGATGAGGAGCGCGGTTTATCAATGGAGGAGACTGACGCTCCGCTTTTATTCCAGCAGGGTTTTCCCTCGATTAGTCCCTATTACACGAGGAAGCGGCTGGTTTGGGTAATTACTGAAGCACCGCGGGGGGTGTGCACTGTGCAAAAACTGCGCCTTAGCGCAAGTTAAGAGCGCTGCGTGCCTGCAGCGCTGACCGCCGGCCGGAAGATGCTGAGGTTCAGTGCCGGTGGAGGGTGATGGTTATATCCATAGAGGTCCCAGTTTCCACCTGACACAACCTCTCCTTCCTCCTCCTCCTCCTCCTCCTCTCCGCTGGTGATGCTGAGGAGAAATATCAGCATCAATGGCAGAGAGAGAGAGAGAGAACGGGAGAGAGAGAGAGAGACGCTGACGGTGACGAATTTTAACAGATAACCACAAGAGGCCGCGTTTCAGCAAAATGATTCAAAGGCTAAAGAAGAACAAAAAAGAAATATCACAAAAGTTAGAAATACCAGCACATAATACATCTATGCGAATTTCTCTTTGAGATCAATATTCTTATTCTTATCTGAAAACACTGGTAAATATTTTAATTAATACACATTTAGGAAGAAAGTCCAAGTTAGCTGTTGATTTTTCCTTTTTTAAAACTCCCTTTTAACTTTTATTCTCTTTTTTCAAATAACATTTTTAAGACATTGTCACATGAAATAAGGACGTTATTTCATGTCTTTTAAGCGTGACGAAGGCTACATATAAAAAAATTAAAAGAGTTGCAGTACACCTGCAAAATGTTCCTCTTCCTTTTTTCATTTGCTCTCTTTAAGTGTCACCGCATAATCAGGCTCCATCTTGTTTTAAAGAGCCCATAGTACTGGATTAGGGCTTACTTGTGGTTCCTGGGAATTTTAAAAGTAGAATGGGAGGCAGAGCCTTCAGCTTTCAGGTCCGTCTCTATGGAACCAGCTCCCAGTTTGGATTCAGGAGACAGACACTGTCTCTTCTTTCAAGATTAGGCTTCAAACTTTCCTTTTATATTAAGTTAGTTAGGGCTGGATCAGGTGAACTTGAATCCTCCCTTAGTTATGCTGCAATGGGTCTAGGATGCTGGGTGATTCCCATGATGCACTGAATGCGATTTGGTGCAATATAAATAAAATGTAATTGATTCGAAAAGCGTAGCAGATCATCTGCCTCCATCTCATTTAGTGTCTTGCAGCCTGACACTCAAACTCTTTGCATGTCCTCCTTTGCTACATCCATACACATTCTCTGAGGTCTTCCTCTTTTCACCCTCCCTGTCCTAACCTATGTCCAGTATATCCACTATTCCTCCTCTGCTCATGTCCTAACTTTGTTTCCAATCTGAACAGTCATTCTGATATACTCATTTCTAATTGTATTCATTCTGGTAACCTCCAACAGAAATCTTAAACTTTTTAACTCTGCCACCACCAGCTTTAACTTTCATGGTTTCTAAAACTATTAGGAATAAATCAAACTAGGTATATCAACTATAGCTCACACAGATAGCTCACTGCAGAGTCACAGGTGGGAAAAAAATGTGAATTATACTTCCACCTATTAGTGATTCTGATTGGCTAATTTATACGTAATGAACTGTCTCACCTTCATTTTAAGATCGAATATATTTTGTAAAACTTTATCTTTATCTAAAAACATTTTAAAAATGTCTCTTTCATGGTAGTGGTTGCTATTCCTGCCCTGGAGTGACGCACAGGAGCGAAGGAGGAACGGCTCCTTTAACTCTCCATATAGGCGGAGTCTAAGATGCGGAAGTGCCTTCCTGTCAAGCCAAAGAGGCGTTTCGTTAAAGGCCAGATGTATTTTTAAGTGAATGCATCTCCTACTCCGGACACTCTTCAGCTGACCAGGTGTTGCTGTCTCGTGGATCCCACTTATTAAGAACGATGTCGGACTCCATTAAAAACGTCGCGATATTTGGAGCCACGGGAATGACCGGGCTGGCGACCCTGCCGATAGCAGTAGCTGCAGGTGAGGAATAAGAGTAATAAAAATAAGTTACAGACGAAATAGAAGAGATCATGTATTTGTGTAACCGTGCGGGAGTCACACTGGGGTCTTTCGGGTGGGTTTCAGTAGGCTTTTCATGCATTGTTACTGTTGGAGTTAAAGTTGGAGTTTTCCGCACAGGCAAAACAAACTTTGATGCTTCAGACTGTTTTCTGAGCGTCCTCGTGCACCTGTAACAGGGTAGTTACACGTCCACCTGTGGAGGTCACAATAGGGTGATAAACATGAGGTCACGGGATTCCCTTGCGTAATAACCACATCTTAACTGTAACAGTTTCACAAAAAGCTGGTAGAAATGTTCCTCAGCCTGTTAAAATCAGAAGTTTCACATGAATATTTATGACATAATTTTTTTTTTTATATCACATGTATTTGGTCAAGTTTTGTTAATTTTTTTAAAGGGTTGAATGAACTGAATGAACACATTTCAAGGCCTGATTTGTAAACTGTAAACTGTAATCCCCGATGAATGTCACTCTCTGCTCTAACTTTCTGTAACCCCCATTAGTACCGCTGCAATAACCCACTGCTCCTCTCACAAAACCCCTTACACAAACACACTGTGTCATATGATTCATTCGATTTAGCAACATTTCCATTTCCTTTCCTTTTGCTCACCCATGGCAAAAAAAAGTCGACTCATGTTTAACGGCACAGGCAGCGTTTTGCTGAGTCACGGCAGTTTGTGACACAGAGAGCTGATAGTAAAAAGCTGTTTGCTATCTTGCCCCCACAGTAAAGGGTGGGATCTCCCCTGAAGCTGTCACAGAGTCACCAGTCAACCTGCATTTGTATAGCACTAATTAAACAAATTAAATTAAAAGTACAGGGAAGACTAGAATACTGCTAAAAAAACAACAAAATTACATAGGAACACATTAAAAAACAGTACAAGCAACAAAAGCTTCTGAAGCAGTTTGTTGCTAGCAGTTTCTGCACAGTAACCAAACAGGAGAAAGTGACATCTTGAGTGTGCTGGTTGGCACCCAGGTGAGATGATCTGTTGTCATTGTGTCACCAAGACAAGTCCCTGCTCCTTTGATAAAAACAACACATTTCCATGACTGTAAGATCCTGCAACACGCACAGAAACCAATGACTTCAATACAAAACAAAAAGCACAGTATGCTATAAGTGAAAGTGTTTCATAATTAGGTGTTTATGGTCGAAGTTTAGTTTAATTTCCATGTTTGTTTGTTTTTCTCTCTCTCTTTATTTTTAGGATACAATGTGACGGTGCTGGTGCGTGACCCCGCCAAGCTGCCTGATGACCACAAGGCATCCAGAGTGGTGGTGGGAGATGTGCTCAAGAAAGACGATGTAAAGAAGACGTTGGAGGGCCAGGATGCTGTTATTATCATCTTAGGCACCAGGAATGACCTCAGTAAGGCTGAAGAATTGCACATACAAGCAAATATAATAAGACATTAAATCAAAATGCACTCTTGCAATCATATCGCCAGCCTACCTGAACTCAAGAGGACTTATTTCAATGCTTAAACTAATACCAATGGAACTGCATGGATTTAAGTTCATGTGGTTTCATGTATCCATAGTAATTGTAATTGCATGCAGTCACTGAATCTTAAAATACAGTTTCCTTACTTACATGTTCACCTTTCAGGAGAAAGACTATATATTTCAGTGATGTAATGATGTAAAACACTCACTAGAGGTCACCAAAGCATTCTTATTACATGTAAAACGTGACATTGGGTCGGTTTGACATAATCTAAAAGACACAGTATAGAGATGAATGAGAATTATAGCATAAAACTAAATAACATATGCATAGCTTATTAAATAATTTAATAAATTAAGGACTGTATAGAAACTACTAACTCTATAAAAACTGGAGAAGTCTCTCCCCTCCAGGGCTGAACATTTCCTCCACAACATGGATGAACTGAGTCCTTGGATCCAGGGGATGTTTGGCTCTGGATTACCTTTTGATATTTTCTTCAGAACATCAAGACAGTGTTTCTCAACTTTTTACTATTTCCTATTTCACAATGGTAAAGAAGTCTTTCAAATATCCCTGGATGCAGATGTGCATCAAGCCAAAATATTGTATCACTTCAAATTTGGACCAAAGCCCACCTCTGGGAACAATTTTCATGCAAGACAGACAAGCCGAACAATCACATAAATAACATTTAATTGACTTAAAAATAAAAACCAGAGCCAAATTTCCCACCAAAAACAAGACATTTCTTTTAAATTTTAAATTAATATTAACTTATAAGATCAATTAACTCACGTTATTGATCTTTTAAATCATTAGTTAAGTCACTAAAGCACATAATAGAGATTTGAGTTTATTTTTATGGTGCTCTCTGAAACATTGGATTTACTTTTACCCAGCGGAGCATCTGTAGGAATGAAGCAAAACAACAATCAAGTGCTGTTCTGCAGTTGTGTGTGTGTAATATCTCTAATCTAACTTGTATTCATTAGGCCCAACTACCATGATGTCTGAGGGCACAAAGAACATAGTGGAAGCTATGAAGGCGCGTGGAATCCGCAAAGTGATCGGCTGCATGTCAGGTATGCCTCGCTGCGTTAAAAAAAGGAAGCAGAAGAGCTCATCGAAGTCTGTACAATCAATCATTTTTCTCATCTCTTTTCTTCCCAGCCTTCCTTCTGTGGGATCGCTCCAAAGTGCCGCCACGTCTGGTTCCTGTGACGGAGGACCACGACAGGATGCACACCGTGCTGAAGACATCAGGGCTGGACTATGTGGCTGTCATGCCTCCTCACATTGGAGGTCAGTAGTAAGAGGAAGCCAAGAGTTTTGGTTGCAAAGGTCCATTTTTCAGCTTTATTCAATCTGGAAAAAATTGAAACCAGCTAAAAAGAAAGTCCAGAAAAACAGTTTCTGGTATAGTTCAATATAATTTTAACCTTTATGTTAAAACTTATAACTCATCTGTCTGTACATAAAAATATAATACTAGGTTGGCAGCACAATTATACCAAAACTTCCTTGTTAAATGCTGCCCTCTTGTGGTGAATTCTTGTACTAAATTTTGCAGACGGGTTTTACAAAAGGTGTCTTTAATACTACAACGAAGTGAGACGATTAAGGAAAGGAGTTACTTTTCTACACACATGTCAGACTGCTCATAATCTCTTTTCTAAATCAATGGTTAAAGTAAATATCGTCAGAATGGACTTGTACTCATTTACACTCAATGAAGGGAAGATTTTCGAGTTTGTTCATCCGGCTGTTACTTAGCGGTTTTGCTCTTCAAGCCCATTTGAGATAGAATGGGACAGTATGTGGGTCGTGGTCTAAAAGGAGTGCAGCGTCTCTGCTGCAAATCAGGAGAGCGTTCATACATTCTCTTGTATTCATTAAATGTTTTGTTCTGCCCTCATCTCCAGGTGACCTTCCTCTGACAGAGAATTACGTGGTGACAGAGAACATGCTAAAGGGAAGAGCCATCTCTAAACACGATCTGGGACATTTCTTCGTCAAGTGTCTCTCCACGTCGGAGTGGGACGGCAAGACTGTTGGAGTGTGCGGAGAGTACAAATAGTCCTGTAGTGCACACTGCTTATGCCCCGTTTAAAATCACTTCCTGTTATTGATGTTGAGCGATGAATGAAGGGAAGAGTTTTGTGTTGAACTGCTAATGTGTGGGGGTTTTTTTTTTTCCTTGCTTCGGTCTTTTCTATTCCCTTTTGTAACTATGATTTAGCATCTTTTGCTTGGTGTTCCTTTCTTATATTTTCTTTCATTATTAGCTGCATATATGGTCATCTTTTTTTCAAAAAAACAAGTGCCAAACCTGTAGTGTTACTTCAGCTCTTTAATTGCTTCTTTCTTCTTCTGCATTTCAATCATTACATCATGAGATGAGTCTTACTGTTCTCACCATTGTCCTAAAAATAAAAGACTTTACTGTACTAAAAGTTGTGTTGAACTTTACCACATTTTCACATTTAAAAGAGAACTAAATCTGTTTTCCACTCCTCGACTCATGTTCGAGCGGGTGAAGTGGTAGGGTGTATTTTAAGCCGAAATGGTTACAGTCTCCCTTGTGTGTGTCCTGCAGAAAAGACAACCAAGCATATCTAGATTTTGCACAGTTCTCTGACCAAGCTGTACCAAATTCACTGTGAAGAGGCTGCACAAATAAGGAAATCTTTTCACTTCAAAAATAAACTGGGTGTTTTTAAAAAAAAAAAAAAGTGAGGTGTGAATACGCCCTTTTCACCGTTTCTGGTTTCACACATTTTACAGTGCACAGCAGTTCCACTCATTGACATTTATAATGCAAAGGTTATATTCAGGCACATTAGATTATAAAAAGAAGGGACTTGGGATTCAAAGAATCCCACTTTAATACTCCTGGATTATAACCTGTGAATTACAAACAATACTTAAAAAGTAACTGCCTGCAAGGATTCAAGGATGGCTGCCAAGTGGGAAGACATTTCTAGCAGGACTTTAATATAATTTAATTTCTTATTAACTGAAAACTGTAAGTGATCACTTTGAAACTTGATATATACTATCCATTGATTTTTTTTTTTTTTTTTAAACACCGAGGTCTTATTTTCTTGGTTAAGGATTTGATTATTTCTATGGGGGTAAGGGATAGGATAAGTATAAGCCATAAGGCTTCAGCCTATTCCTTTTTCGGTTTCTGTTTGAGTACTTTTATGTAAAATTATAATCTGTTGTTGTTGTTGTTGACTGAAATAAATTTCAATTCATTCATTCATTCAATTCATTAAGTAATCTCTGACGATGACCCCAGCCACTCCCCCACCCTGACCCTTTATTTTGGAGAGAATCAAATACACACATAGATTTTTTTTTTTAAATCCCCAAAATTTACCCGAGACTAGGGAGAACAAATAACAGAACTGCATATTTTCAGTGTGTAGAGTTATGATTAGGCTTGACAGGGGGGAGGACTTTAGTTTTATTTTGAAAGCCACAACCGGAACTTACTTTATATTTCGAGCACGTCATGCTTCTCAGTGCAGAAGCAGAGGAGCAGCTACAGCTGTCCTTTTAAAGTTGACTATCCGGTTCTTCATGTGACTGAAAGTCGGGTGTTACAATTAAAATCGAAACCATAGAAACATAAACGCTCGTGATCTGGGGCAGCAGAGTGGGGCCTTCACTGACGGTCGCTTTCAGGTAAATAACTCTCATCTGCTTTGAAGAAGACTGATTCAAACGAATTAATTTTACTGGGCTTAAAATGACCTTTGCTGTGTATGACAGGTACATGTGGGATCCATACGTATTTTCCTTTTCGTTTATTCTTTCTTGTTTTGATTTTTCAGTGCCATGCTCAGAAATGTGTAGACATTTATGTGTATACATTTTAAAATTCTGAATTGGATATAAAATCAATCTACTGGAATCATTTCAATCTTGAAAGTCTAGCATTTAACTTAAAACACAGATGAATTAGAACTCGCTGAATTTTAAGTTTATTCAACAAGTTTTATTCCAGTTTTCTTCTTCTTTTAATAAAAGAGTCTGTACTAAAGCCAGTATAAGGACTGGAATCCAACTTCACTTGGTGATGTAATCATTTAGGAATTAGTGCAAAGGATATTATATAATAAGAATTTAAACAAACTGGTAATTGCAGCAGGGGTTAATTTACACTATTTCCAAGTTTAATAAATGTAAACTTTAGAATATATTAGCCGTACAGCTCGTTTAGCGTGTATTTAATGCGTTTCGTACATGGAAACTACTCTGGTGGAATGTAACGTATAAAAACTCCATTACCCACAATGCCTTCCTATAGCCAACCCCCAACTCTGAACCTCTTGGTATGAAACTCAAATCACGGGCGGGAGAAGGCGAAGGCAGACTTGAAGCTAACGACGTAAGAGCGTTTTGGGATTTTTAAATTAGAACAAGAGTTTTAAATCGATGTTTAATCGTTAACTTATTTATGAATGAACCGAGTAAAACTTAAGGGTAAATTTGCCAGTTCAGGTCGAAGCGAAGGCAGCAAAAGCATTGACGACTAAACTCACGGCGGAGAGACGGGAAGTGATTCAACAGGTTGGTTTGCTTAAAACAACTCTTACTTTCCACATGTGTTTGATCGCGAACTTATTGTTTGGTGGGCTAATTAAGATCGGTTTCAACTCCGTTCAGTCGATTATTTCGACTGTAAGTCGAATTAATTTTTATTTTTACCCGATGGCCTCGGGCGAGACTGTTTCCCTCCTACGCGGTGAAACCAGCGTTACAACCCCCACTCTCCATTTAAAGTACCCACATTGTTATGCTCATTTACAGGCTCACCATTTTAGTCTGAGCTCTACAAGGGCAGGCCCTGAGATTGTTTTAACTGTTATTTTAAAATCCATGTGTTTCCAAACTTTATCCAGGGGTGTAGTGTTACGGATCGTCTCATTAATTTGCAGTCTTTTAGTAAAAATGCTATTTGGTGGTGTGGCGATTCCCACACAAGACTGAGATATGGTTTGAAAAGCTATTTTACACCTAGATAAGTTATTTGGATTATAAAAATGAATTGTCTAGTTTAATGCAGCAGTTTTCTCCACTGGCCTAGAATTTTTACAGTAGTCAAATGTAAAGGCCAAAGGCTGAGATTCTTCGAAAATTGCCCCACTTTTTGCATCTTAACAGGCATCACCTGGTTTGTAAAATCAGTTGTGGGGTAAACAAAAAGCTTAAAAAAGGAAGCCAGTCAGAATTTTTAGACTCCTGTATTGTTATACCTGACAATCAAAATGTATTTTATGTACTAGTAATTTAACTGTAGTAATTAAATATAAATTATTTGCAATTTTTTGTATTGAGATCGAACTTTGTAATTAATTAGTAGTTAAAGCTTTAAAATACATTTACTGGAGTAAGTGCTTTCTTTAGGCTTGCCCCTGTGCCGTTATCCTTCAGCAAAGGGTACAGAAAAATCAGTCACATTTATAGGATTTATTTTATGATCTTATAACAACTATATTATAAACTAAAGAGTTTATCTGCATACAGATAACTTTAATTTTTGCTTCTTCTTGATTTGCACAGTAAACTATCTCAGCAGATATTTTGATAAAGGATATGGTTAATTTAGTCGGTTTGCTTCCGAGGTGATGTGAACAGCCAACACACTTTTTACTGGGGACATCAAGACAGGGACAGTGGTTATGTTGAACCCTGCTAGTTACAGAAACTGTATGTCCATATGTAAATATAAAGGTGAAAGGCTGAGATACTGCACTCTGTTTTGCATCTTAACATCGTTCGGGCATCATCTGGTTTGTAATATCATTTTTGCCACCGTCTACTTTTGAAATTATTATTAGTTGTTTTTCTCAGTGGGTTCATGGGGAGAGAAAATAGAAATAGTCTGTGAATAAATGTGAATGAGCAGTGAGCTACTGGAAAATGTTCTGTAATTTGACACATTTATTTATTTGTGTTGACAGATTTGCTACAGTAGCATTTCTTTGTCATGTAGAAAAGCTGAGGGGAGGCGTGCTGGTTGAAATGTCACTTCTTTTTCTTACATTAAACGTCTAGTTAAATATCTTCACTTCTACAGAAGGAAGAGTTTTGCTGGCTCGGCCCATTTAAGATCAACGTGGCTCACAACCATAATGAACTTGGCATCCCTGGTCTAAATAGTCTCTGTTAGTGAAATTCAATCTTCACAAAAATCCTACTAAGTTCACTAAATATTTACTGTCTTAGACCATATAGCTGGTCCTCAATTGTACCTTTTTTAATTTAAAATACATTATAATAGATAAATGCTTACCACAGCCCCCAAACTAAAACAAAATCCTGTAGTTCTTTTTTTATTGATGAATGCTGGTCGATTACTTTGTTGGTGGTTGCAGCATTTTGATATTATTCTTTTGCAGCTTCAGTTTTTGAATTCAAGTGATTCTAAATATAAAAACCACAAAATATGACCTGTGATATATTTATTACAACCCAGTAACATTTGTGCCTTATTTTGCAGCTTAATGACGATGATGATGCCGAAGGGGCAGAAGCGCAAACTATCAATAGAGGAGGAGGCTTCAGACTACAGAGCTCCCACCTGGGAGAGCCAGCAGCAGTTTCTGCTCACAGTTTCCCTCAACAAGTATCAGTTCTCCCAGCAGCTACGTGAGCCCAGCCTGCGACGGTCCGTCCTGATAGCCAACACCCTGCGGCAGATCAGCCTGCAGATGTCTATGGTACCATCAGTCAACGTGGAGGTGTCAGAACCTCCAGGTATTGCTTCATCTGCACTGACAGCAAGTATTGCCGCTGCAGCAAAACGTCATTCTGCTGTAACGGTTGACAGCTGCTCAGCTCTGGCCACCTGCCCCATGGTTTCCTTAAATTACTCACCAAATTCTACTGAAAAGACAAACTACTCGAGTGAATCAAATTTCCATATCAGTATAGAGGATGATGAGGACTGGGGATCGATGTCCACTGATACTGATTCATCTCTTTCAGCTGTCATTTCCTCTATTCTTGCCGCACTGGACTCTACTATAGACGGGAATCCTCAGCCAGCTCCACGGATACCCCTCAGGCCCTTGGAGAACATGTCCAAGCCCTATGAGGGAAGCGTGGCCTTGGTAAATCACGGTCTCAGAGATCCCGGTGACTGCAGGGAGCAGCAAGAAGACGGCAGCATGGAGGTAATGAGGTCCAGCTACCTTGGGGATTTCACTGTGGAGGACTTGTTCCAGGATATAGACACATCCCTGGTGGACATAGACATGGGAGTGATTGGGCACAGAAGCACTGAAGGTGGACACACAGCTGGGGATGACCTGTTTATGTACCTGCCACCTTTCTCCCCCCACTCCCCTTTCTCACCACACTCTATAACACCCACCTCCCAAAATGCCCAGCCTGCTCTGATTGGCCAGTTGGCATGATGAATACAAGGCAACACTTATTATGTATAGTGACTGTTGTAAGCCCCCTAAGAGCTGTCGACCGCCTTTAAAACAGTATCTTTGGGTTAACTGTGGAACGACTACTTGTTTAAAAAAAACATTTTGTGAAATGTGGCCCTCATTTAAGAATTTTGATGTTGTTATTTTTGTGTATGAATTTTTAAATTCAGCTATCCTTTACACAAAACTACAGCGCTCCTAAAGTCCTGTAAAGGTTCTTTCTTTCTTTTATTAAAATCCTGTGTGCACAAGCTTTTTTAAAAATGTGCAAACAGGACAAATAAGTCGCTGGACTAATGTTAAAAAAGAGGAGGAAAGAAATCACCTCACTGGACTTTAAGGTGTCTGTACAACACTGAGAAAAATAACAATTATGGATTTAATCCATTTTAAGTACAAATTAATGGTTTGTACATTACTTCGCAGTCTAATGATGATCTCGAGGGGGCAGAAGCATAAACCCTCCCCCTCAATCCAAGTCTGATGTACCCATCTTCACTCTCCACCAGCATCTGCTTCAGTCTCTTATCAAAATCTTGTGAGGGGAAGGAATTAGCTCGAGCATCTTTATCATAAACTCTGGTAGAGTTTATAAAAACGGCTTGCGTGCATGAACACCCTTCACTTGCCGTCTGCTCTGTCCTCTGTCGATCATTACACAGCCTTTAACCGCGGGGACAGGTAAAGGTCTGTGCACTGTCTCAGCACAGCTCTGCCAGTTAATGTTGAGGACATTCAGGCCCGCAGTGCATGTGTGAGCTACTGTGTTTTCAGTAAAGCTCTGGGTACATCCACATTAATACAATTTAGTTTTAAACTGTAACCTTAACTGTGTTTGGACCTAACAATCACACCGCTATAGAAGACGCCTAACACTGAGAGTTTTTAAAAATGCAGTCTGAGCTTGGATTATTTTTTTTAATGGTCGGCGGTGATGGAGCAGGCAGACATGCTTGTTTTCTAATGTGTCAGAAACGCGTGTCTGCACGGAGATCTTTTTCCTTTTAAAGGACCATTTTAAGATTTGCATTAGTCCTCGGTGTGCCTTCTTTCTCTTTACACCGACGCAGGCTCGCTCAGTTTACCTGAGCAGTCAGCATGCTAGTTTAGACGAGTGGTTCTCAAACTGCGTGGCATTGATAACAGGGTGAAAAATTCTAATGAAACTTTTGTTTTTTTTTCCCTTTGTTGGGTGGAGGAATAAGTTTGATGCTGTTGCACTGATGATATGCACCTTGTATAAGTAAAATCCAACTTTTTTTCCCCCCCTTTTGTTATTTGTTAGGGATTGAGGTGTTTTTTTTTTTTTTGGCTTCTGAAGTGGGGTATGCCATAAAAAGTTTGAGAACCACTGGTTTGGAGAGATTTATAAAAACTGCTAAAACAATCAGAATGGAGATCATTTTCATTTAAAAAGTGTTAGTGTGGATGTAAGAAAAGGCAGCTTTCAGTCATGCACTGGTGTTCATCCATGCAGCGATTTGACTGTCAGAGCAGCACATGAGACAACTCCTTGTTACCACAAATGTAAAGTGTAAGCTCTGAGATTTGATTTGACTGATATTGGATGGAGAGGATGGCTGAAACACTAATGTTATAGGTCAAATCTTCAGTAGAGAAATCACTTAACCTCTTTTTTTTTTTTTTTATTAATGTCAGGATTTCAAACAGTAGAAATGGGCAGGAATCAAAGATTATCATCAAAAGTATTGATCGGGTGGATTGGCCAAAAGATGTTCACAGAAACAGCATTTAGTTCATTAACAAAATAGTTACCGCGTTTGGTGGATTTTGGCGTTTCACGCAGAGACTGAAAAGCGTGAAAGCAGAATTAGTCTCGTCTGAAGAGTTTCCTGAGTGCAGCTGTGGCTCAGGAAATGATGTGACAGATGGTGGTTGTGAACCGCTCTGTGCACTGTTGTATTTTAGTTTTTCTTTTTTTCCTTTAAAAAGATGTTTTAGAGCCTTTACAGTACTGTGATGATATACAAAGCATCCTCACCCACTCAAGCGTGACAGTCCAAAGCCACTGGTCACGTCACCTCGGGTATCTGCAGCCGTTATGCAACAGCACTTTGTTGTTCAGATGTATTATTGATCAGGTGATTGAGTCCAGATGGTGCTGACTTCCACGCTGTGAGCAGTTCATGAATCAGGTCAGTTTCTGCCAGTTTTAGCAGGCTTCACTTTCTCAGTGGTTTCTTTTGTGGCAGTTTTGTCATAATATGGATTCATAAGTTTGTTCAACTAACAGTATTTATTTTAGAAAAGGTGACATTGCAGGGAACAAGTTCATTTTCAGTTCTGTTAGATGTTACTGTAGGAACATGTAGGAATTTATACCAACTTTGCTAAAATACCCGACGGGATGAAATGTTTGAGGAAGCACCCCAAGTGCTGGTTTTTGTATTTTTATATCCAGGTTATGTATTGAAGTTGCTTTCTATGCATACGTCCTTTCTGAGTAGCTGGCTTGCAACTCCAAAATATTTATGAATGACTCGTTTTGTCAACAGTGAGTAATTTATTATCGTATCACACTGACATATTACTAATGGTATATTAAAATACCGTCATGGCTGTTATTTTATTTACTTTTTTCCTCTATGTATGCCCAGATACTGTGTATTTTTGACAACCTGTTTACCTGTACTGATGTTTTGTAATAAAATATGCAACTGTGTAAAGAAAAAAAAAAAAGACTCTTTCATTATCTTTGTGCATCACATACCAGAGTTTTTTTTTATGTTAAACTTGTAAGAGTGCAGGGAACTTGTCATAAAGAAACCAGTTTGGACATAATAAGCGACAATACTCAGGCTGTGGTGTTTAATTAAATGCCCTCAGTTGATACTAGCAGGCAAATGTCCGACACCAACAACCACACAACATTCAAAGTCTCTTGAATATCTTTTGTTCCATATTCTCATGCTTGAACTTCAGCAGGTCACTATAACCTCGTCTACATGCCTTGATGCAGGGTATCGAACTCCAGCCCTTGGCTGATATTTGCATGAACAAGCAGATGAGCAGGTTTACGGTACAAAGTGGCCCCATGAATGCACATGGAAATAAGATTATGTAAGCTGGCCAACTACCAGTTCAGCATACCAGTAACTGAACTTAAAATGGATTCTAATGCATTCACACACTTCAGTAAAACACACACTATACCCAAAAGGAAACTGGCACAAATCCAATGTTTGGCTTTGCTCTCACTTAAACTCTGAGTGAAACAGTTGAAATGAAACTAGTTGGGCATTAAAGCAGACCTGATATTTTCATTTCCAGCATCATATTTTCCACTTTGACCTTTACTAAAATAGCTTTGCATGACTCTCAGGTCAAAAATAAACTTACCTTATTCTAGGCTTTGGTGCAAACGCTCAGTTGCTTTAACACAAGGGTGGCGGAACTCCAGACTTCAAGGGCTGGTGTCCTGCAGGTTTTAGATATCATCCTGGGTCAATACACCCGAATCAAAGGATTAGTTGATTACCAGGCCTCTGGAGCACTTCAAGACATGTTGAGGAGGTATTTTTGCCATTTAAAATCAGCCGTGTTGGATTAAGGACACATCTAACACCAGCAGGCCACCATCCCTTGAGGCCTGGAGTTCCCCACTCCTGCTTTAACTCATCTACCTTAAGTCAGATGATTTGGTTTTTGATTGGCTGTCCCTTAAAAAAAAAAAACAGGGTTGAACAGCAGACAACACAAAACAGCTTTTAGCTCATTATTTGCACATATTAATCTTGCACCGTTACACACGTAAAGCTTTTAAACATCACCCTCATTTAGTAGCACCCAACCTTGTAACAGTAAGGCAAAATAAGAATCAGTTGTTATCCTTTAAATAATGACTTGAGGGTTTTTTTTGTAACTTCTACAGTTCTTATATGTAACATTTTAAGATTCTGAAAAGGTACAAATGCTGTGAATTGAAGAATAAAAAGACAAACATGGCAACATATTACAAAGTTTCTTTAATTTACAACTTTTCATAGTGAATACAAGCTACAGTTTACTACACTACAACACACACACAACTTATTTTACAGTATTGGATAACTTCACTACTTTTAACTTTACTGTTCACATCAGTTTTACTATTAAAGTGCATTTCAAGTGTTTCTCTGATGGACACCATTCCAGATGTTTGAAGTCACAGATGTGGACAGGTTTCTGTTTGAAATTTGGTTCTCTCTTAAAATTATTCACCACAATTAAACCCTCAGTTTTATTTATCTGGTGTCATTTTCTTTTCTTCATCCTTTGTTCACTCCCTCCATTCTTATGTTGAACATTTAAAGACATAATTATCAATATGTTGCATTACATACAGGCAGACGCTAGGGGGCAGCAGCATAAAGCAGGAGGTAAACTGCTCATCTGTGGCTTCCTTGCTCTTCATGACCTACCCACATAAAAACGACTACTTAAACAATGTCTGATTAAATAAGATTCCCCTTAACGCTCCTGCTGCTTCAAATACTCAATCTGAGGTAATGATCTCAAGCTTTAATAAGTTTAATTTATTGCAGTTGTGATCATTTGTGGTGTAAAGATAGAAAGGTTCAAACTAGCTCAAGTCTGACAGTGCTATGAACATAGATGGATGAATAGGTGGGAGGTGTTTTGACCAGGAAGAAGAATAAGGAGATAAACAATGAATGCACCCACATAAAAATGTAAAATATTCAGCTTCAGCACAAATACATTAAAGACAATATTTGTTTGTCAGTGAGACAAACCTGTCACAGAAAAGCAAGAAGACCAAAGAGGAAACAAAAAAGGTAAAAAAACAAAACAAAAACAACAACAACTAAACTGTATCAGAAGTTTTAGGCCGAAGCCCATCATGTGCAATCCTGACTGTAAACAGCACAGTTACACTGGTGTGTCAGAGGGAGATGTTTTCCTTTTAGCCCTGGTTGGGAGAATCTGTCCCTATGTGCAACACGAGGTGCAATACCCACTCCTAAACTCTTTGGTGGCCCTCTATTTCTCAAAACTCATCTCAATCCTCCTTAATGTTTCCTCCAATGGATTTTTTAAAATGAGTTGAAAAGGAAGAAAATAAACAAGAAGAAGGGAAAAAAAAGAAAAGAATTCAGAATCAGCCCACCAAGTCCTCATGTTCCATCAGTGGTTCAAGACGTAAGGATTTGTGAGAGATGGAGCTTCTATCCCTTTTCTCTCCGTCCTCACAGCTCAGCCCCTGTTGATGGTGTTGTAGGACACCTGTGATCCTGGCTCAAGGTGATTGCTGGCACCCTTTTCTGTCTGCCTCTGGGGACTCTCGCCGTGATCCACGATGGGCTCTCTGTCCTCATCCGGGTCAGAATCTTCACAGCGAGGCAGCTGTAGCATGGTAGTCAGGCCATGCACATCAGACATCTTGTGGAAGGTGCGTAGCAAGAGGTACATCATCATCAGACCCAAGAACAGGTACACTGGAGACAGAGAGAGAGAAGCCAGGAGAGAAGGGATGGATTTTTTTTTAAATGTAAGGATATTTAACAGAATTTGACTGGTGATTAATTTCGATAAATGTTTCAGCCTTTCTGCTGTGGCTCCAAATACCACATAAAACCACATGTAGGTATTCTCTCTTTGACTGTGCTGGTGATCTGTTTATTATGCAACACTGAGGTTGGAAAAAGCAATACTGCAGCAGGTGTGATACTAAATCTATCAGCTTATGAAAACCAGCAGGTTATGAAAATGTTAAAGCTCTTTACAGCTTTTAGGCATTGGTACACTACCAGTACATGCAACCACAAATAGCTGTGTGGTGCATTATGTGCAGAATTTCAAGTATATTATTTGTTGGTATTAATTAAAAATAAATACTACAAAGATGCATGGTTACTTTATGATCTTAGACAAGCAAGAAACTTACAAACTCATGTAGCTGGTAAAGAGAAAAGAAGTCCGAATACACTTAACTAACAACCAATTTTTAAACATTCATTTAACCAAAAGGAGAACAAAAGTGCCCTCAAGGTGGCAAAGGTGAAAATAAAATCTCAACCTTTGTTACTTCTGCTCTGATTCTTGCGAGTGCCTTAAAGAAATCCGTGTGGTTTTACTGTGTAATGTGTGCATTAAGTGGTCCACAGAGTTCAGGCCATGAGCAGCAGTCACTCACAGCACAAGCAGGCCAGCTCTAAGAAAACATCATTCGATGTTACAAATGTAACGCATGTTTCATATGAATTAGTCTGACTAGGAGTTTGAATCTTGTTCTCACAGACTATAAAACTCATCATGGTTAAAAACAGCAGCTGGTGACGAGTTTAAGATTGGTTTAAACTCCAAACTTCCCAGAAGATTTACCTCTCACTGCATCTGTGTAGGTTGCCAGTCATTCAGGTTATGGTAGTTTTATTTAAAGGCTAGCAAGACTTGTTTTTTAGGTTCGGGGATTCCCGGGTATTTATTTGCAGTGCAGTGGAAGAGCCCTGCAGCAGTTGGCGAGTTGTTTTGACTTGTTCTTACTTAGGCAGCGATCAGTCTCTTCAGTTTGCAAGTTAATAGGGTCAAGCTGGCAGCTACGATCAGTTTGTGATTATAGATGTTATCGGTATAAGTTGCCAAAAGGTTGTGCTTATTGGTGCAAACTAACTCAGACTGATTGCCAACATACTGGGAATCAATCTGTTTTTAAAGTAGACAGCAATTACTTGCAAACAGTCACAAATCAGAGAGCGATTCCAGTCAGTCACCGTGACTGTTTGGAGAAAGTTTGTCTCCCACCAGGCAACCTGTGCATAAGGTTAACAAGGTTGTTCTTCTTCAACTAACCAAGGTGCATATTTATCCAGCATGTCCTGGGTCTGTCCCAGGATTTCCTCCTACTTGGACATGCCTGACACCCATGTATGAGGGTATTAGGCCAAACTAAGGTTTTGTTTGCTCTAGAACATCGTTTCTACAACTTGACTGCAGTCGACCAGTCGATTGGACATGATTTGGAAAGGCATGCACACAGAATAAGTTAGCAAAAACCGATGTATTCAACTGTACAAAATACGTTTCAACATGTCTGAAGCCTTTAAATAGCATAGCTTTATAGTACACTTCATTGTACGCATTGCATTCAACCTTAATTTCACACAATCCTGCAAAGAATGACTTAAATACCACCAGCAGGAGCGATGGAAAACTCATAATTCTCATAATGCTCAAGAAAATGGCACGACGACTGAAAATGATAGAAACATCTTTGCTAACAGAAAACTGCTTAAGCACCCTGTCCAGAAGATTACCTACTCTCATTTACCACATCCACATTATTTTCTGAGTTATACATAAATATATATATAGTTGTATACAAACGGCAAATGTAAAGTGACAGAACACAGTCCTATAGCATGCAAACGTAGGTCTGCAACGCTCTTCAAAGCACCTACACTGCTACCAATGCATAACCATGACAGCATATTTAGAAGGAAGAGGAGCTAAAGTAGTTTTTCTGTTTTCAAAATAGGTTCCTTTTCAATTTTACCACACAGCACTTCGGCTGAGGAACAATGCACCAGGCTGCAGTCTGTCACTAATCCTCTCCAGAACCACCAGGGGCTGTTTGGGTTAATCTGACTCGACCTACACTGTTATATAAAGCAGCCTGAGGGACAAGAGAGCAACATCGCCGGTCCCTGTGAGCTACTCCACTCGGCCTCCTTCCAACCTGAAGTCAAGGGATTAGCTGTGGGCAACACGAAAGAAAACACAGCTTTCAGCAGAGCTCCTGAGCTCCTCAAAATGAAACACGTTAACAGGTGAGATCAAAGGAGTTAAAGTACTACAGGGTGAATTTTCCTTCCTAGTTAAGTTGCTGGAGGGCTCTGAGGAAAATTAAAGAAACTGTGTGAAATGCTGCATTCTCTCAATCCTGTAAACAGCAGAGCTCATTCATCCCAGTGTGTGTCTGTCAGATATTCACTGTAGATATTCACTCTGACCGAGCCCACAGAAAAAAAAAAACAGCAAGCCTGCTTTTAGACACAAAGGTCATTCCAGCTCTGACTCGATTACTGAAAGGAAGCCCACAAAGAAGCTGAACAACAACAGCCGACTATGGAAATAACCTCCATCATGTGATAACAGAGTTTTTTTGATTGCCAGAAATAACAGACGGGCATCTAAGTAAGGTTTTAAACACGACGCACACATGCACATTTGACTCATATGGGAATACCCTCCTACACAGCGGTGGGCAATTGAGAAACGGGGACTGTCGTGACAGAACTCAATTCTGCTCATAATTATCTCTTTATAAGCTTATTAGTGCAGCCCTCTCACAAATACCCCTTCCATAATATCATACACTAATAAACATGTTATGGAAATGCACTCTATAAAGAGCACAGTCTTCATTTACTAATAAAACAAACAGTTTAGAAGCTCGACTTTAACTGATAACTGTTAACATCAGCCTGTTAAAATGCTCAGAGAGCCTTAACATGCAGATGTTAAGTGTGTATTGATCACCACGGTCACCTCCTTATTTTAGCTGCACTGTAAAGTATGGCGAGTGTTGGTGCAGAATGAAAAGGATTTGAATGCATGCACCAGAGCTCATAATTATCCCAATAATTACAGCGATTTTCAGACACAATTGGGAGATGTTGGTCAAAGTCAGAGAAATGAAAACCCTCCAGAAGGCAAGGCAGTCTTAATGCTCATAAGTAACCTTCAAACACCGGTGAGCATTTATCTGTCATTTTTATAGCATTACCTAAATTAACTTTTATTTCATTGGGTCACAAGAAAAAAAATGCACGCATAGAATAATAGATTTCAATTCAACTCCATCCTGAAGACAAGAGCTCTTTGTTTCCTATGCTTGGCATGGACATGGATGTCTATATACCACTAAACAAAAAGGTCTTCCGGGGTTACGTGGGCTATAATTACAGCCGATGATTGATCTAAGCACTTACGCCCGACTTCACAGTCTGAGTGCTGTTGCACTTACCGAAGAACAAACGTCAAAGTCAGATATCACTTTATTTTGTTTTTGTGCGATTCTCCTCAAAGTCAGCTCAACTTCAAACGAGCTACACAGAAGAGTGAACTTCAATTTACAATTTATGAGGAACCGCCAACCTGTCAACCATGACTTGGTAGCGAGAAAAAGGCAGCGAGAGGTGTTACTTCTCACATCAGAGGTGAGAATGAAGACAAAGCCACAAAGGTCAACTTCTGTCAGAGCAGCAGGACAAAAAAAAGATTCAAGAGATTTTAATTATCTGTGAGTGTAGAACATATTGCCAATATGTTCTACACTCACAGATCTCAATGCATCTCATGCAGTTCCTTTCATTGCATTGATTCCAGTTCTCTTTTTAAAAAATACTATTAACTTTTCGGCCCCCAGTACTTCTCTCTTTAATGATTTTTGGAAAGACCGCCCTCCTCTCACTCTGTGCTTCTGCAGGTGTTTCAGATATTGTGGTGGACCTGCTCCCCTTTACAGCTCTGCAGGCATGTAGCAGCTACGTGTGACCCTCACAAGACAAACCACAGCAACCTCGGCGTGTGCCGTGTACCCAGGTTATCAACCATCGCTACCACACCCACAGGTGCAGTGGAGTTTCAGCTATATTCTTAGCCATCCATCAACATCAAAGCACAAACACCATAAAACAACCGGCTTTCTATCATGCTGGAACAAATTTCATGTTTTTTTTTTTAAATTTATGTTAGAAGTAAATAAATGATACCTTTTCTTTTTAGTGCAAGTCACAGGTCACATACAGTGTGTTTGGTGGTTAGTTACAGGAGCTGTCCAGGTTAAAAACCTGGTTGCTCCCATGTATTTACTCATCTTTAGTCACCACAGTTCAAACAATGCGTGGAGATTTTCCAGTAAATAAAAGGTTCACATTCAAAGCACACTGTACTGGATGTATTATTCTATCCATGATTACCTTCTTCCCCACCTCTCTTTGTGTATTTCATTTCACCCTATTCTTAGCATACTACTGTGCAAAATTTTAAAGCAGAGTTAAAATTTTGGCTGGACTATGTGCGGCATCACAGGCACGCATATCCTCGTGCACATGCAAGTTTTTATACAGAAATTTCAGACATGAATATAGTCACCTAAGCACTGAACCCCAACTCAGAAGGTTGCTTTTACTTATTTATGATACATTTACTGTGAGATTAGGACTAAGATTAAAAATGGTGGTATGCAATTTTAAAGCATGTTTGTAAGACCCGACTCTGAGCTTAAACATGCACTGATATGAGCTCTGCTGTGCTCTGGGACATGATGAGACAACACCTTCTTCTCAAACATACAGATAAGCAGTCTTAAAGGAGAGGTGTGTTAGCCTGGGACTGTGACTTCAGGGCCATGTCGTTACTAATGACTTCCACATAAGTTGATCCACTAAAGTGAAGTGGATCAGCGAGCAACTTTGGATAGAATAAATCCACTTAAAACATAGTTGGACAGCTTGCACTTCATCTGTGTTAGCATAAAATCCAAACCAAATAAAAGCTTCACTTTCAGACCATAAATGAAAGATTGAAGCAGTTGCCATACCACTAAATATTAGTTTTGAATTCAGCATCTTAAAACCTCGCTCCTCACAGCCAGAGGTGACCGTATTTGGATGAAAAGGTGGAGTAATACGTTACAGACTAGAGCTAAATTGTAGTAGTGTCTGCTAATCAGTGCCAAGTAATAAGGGGTGCACAGCTGATAGAAATATAGTCTTGATCAAGATAATCATCTTGATATCATCTGCTGTTAGGAATGATCTTCTTGTGGCCACTAGATGAGCTGCAGTTTTCAGCTCTTTGTTTGATTTTTTCAGAATCAGATTATGTTTATCTGTACACAAAGAATTTGTCTGTGTCATTACAAAATTAGCTTTCTTTATGCTTTCTATTAGCTTAAGTTAACCTTAGTCTGCTTCCTCCTAACTGTGGTTATCAGCAGTATACTAAGTGGATTCACATCAGTTTTTGTTTTTTCCCATTATTTTATGTTAGAATCTGGCCGATCTGATGATATTACAGATTCATTTCTCTTTTTCTAAGCCAACTTTCCTAACTCTGTGTCCTAACTCAAATTTGAAAATTTGACCTGAGCCCCTTACACAGAAATTATACATGCATTGTTAAGCGTTAATGCCTTATGTTTTAATAACAGGCAAGTCTGACATGATCAATGAGAACATCTGTGTCTGTGAAAGTAATGTAACATCAGTTTGATTAGAAGCAAGTCCCCCGCCTGTAAGAAAAAGAGCCAAAAATTACTTTAACAATGTGGTTTATCTGAGCTGTAAGCTGGTTCAGCCCGTGGCTGCACTCTAATTGAGTGCACTGGATGAATGCATTTCTAGTCTACAAACAAACGGACTCACCCATGACAGCACCAAGATACAGTGTCCTATACTTCTGCTCTGGCTGCATCCCTGGCACAAAATCCCCCAGTCCAATGGTGCACAGAGAGATGAAACAGAAGTAGACGCCATCCAAAAAGCTCCAGGACTCCTCCAACTTGGTGAAGATGGCTGCTGGCACCACAAAAAAGCACAGCACCACCAGAAACAGCAGCAACACAAAGTGGACAGCAGTGGCGGGCCGAGGCTCCAGGCCTGATCTCTGAAGCAGGCTCACCGGAGCGAGGACCAGAGGGTACAGGAGCCTCTGGACACAGGCGGTGAGCACCAGCATGGTAAAGGGAACTCCTAACAAGGCGTAGAAGATGGAGAAAGCTTTCCCAGTGTCAGACAGAGGAGTGGATTGACCATAACCTGGAGGAACAGCAACATGACAAGCTTTAGAGGAAGTGGGAAATTAGATGAGATGATAGAAAAGACACGATAGAAATTGTTGTGCTTTTTCTTTACGAGAGTCATTCAATAAATCTAAATGTAATTTAATTAAAAACATTAATGTAACACTTTAAAATATTTGAGCTGTATTGTGATTTTGCAAGCTGCTATTTCTGGTGCTGTTGAACTGTATTGGATTACAAAAAAGGGATCTTATGTATTTTGTCCTTACTGATATAACTCAGATGCACAAAAACAATATAAACAGTATAATGCAGTCAAATTAGCAGCCTCCACATTGATCATCAGCACTCAAGTCAATACAGCTCCAAAGGTTTCTAGCAAAAATGGAGCGTTATAACATTAATGAGTTACTGGACAGCTGTAGAGCATAAAAATAGATTAATGTGCTAATGAGCACACTGATGTTACAGAGTCAGGTAGAGTTATTGGCTGCAACAGCAGCACGTAATTTGCCCCAGACTTTTTAACTTGAAGCTACAGAAAAACAGCAGCTTTAGTCAATGTCAGGGTACCAGTGCTGGTAGGAAGACAATAAAATTCAGACTCCAGCATAAGCAACTCACTGAGGATCTGTCACAACTGCCTACAGGGATTATCTACCAGCAGAAGTGAAACTACTGCAAATGAACCTTCTGCTGGAGCTTTAACCTGGTGGCGTGATATAAAAGCTTTACAGCAACACAAAGGATAGGAACGAAAACAACAGCTGAGTGCAGTTAAAAGTACCTCAGACTGAAAACACTGACGCACAGAGCACTGACCAGAGAAAGATAAGACCAGAAAGGACTGTATCCTGTAAAACTGTTTATACAGTGTAAATATATGTAAATAATCAGCCGGGGTGGGGGTTAGGAAGTTCCTTTATATTTGGTTTGTGCAAACAGCACACCATCTGCTGTATGTGATCACAAAACATTAGGTTACTACACAAACGCCAGAAAACAGCTTTCATTTTAAAAATGGAGCTATAAAACAACCATCCAGCCCGCCGCCTGTGCAGAACATCTGTAGCCCTTTAAGTTACAGCTGTTCGAGAAAAAGTCTGAATTCTGCCTGCATTTATTTAAATGGTATTTTTCAGCCTGTAAAAGAATGACACAAACATTCCTGAGTAATAAAGAAAACATTATTATCCAGTCCTGCCATAATAACGTTATCCAAATCACTGGCCACATTTGGATGATGTGTTTACAAAGGTGCTGCCGGGTGTTCAAAGTACAAAGCTGTCTTTGTCAAAATCATCATCTCCAAAGGACATGGACATGAGCTGTGTGTAAAGTGTACGACTACAAAAACCTGGGCAAATGTTTCTGTTGCCACAGACTGGTCTGCTGTCTGCAGTGTGAACGTGGTCACAATGTTGATGAGACAATGTTGATGTGCACGCTAAGAACGAGCACAGCCTTTGTTTTCTAGGGGGTCGTGAACTCATGCTTTAAAAACATGACGCGTTTCACAAACTAAAGATTTGATGTCACTTTGACTACAGAGCAGCTGAGATGACGACACAATCTCCTGTCAGTTAAACCGAAGCCTTCGGGCGTTTAACAGAGTTCAGCGTGAGCTCTCTTTCAAAGCAAGCACAGGTTCAAGACAGATGTAGCTAAAGTTACTGTGACGTTACACACGCGCGCACACATATGCAGTGGACTATACTCATCCAGACAGCAGCAAATACCATAGAAAGTACCATTTCCCACTTTTAGTGTAAACTGGAAAGCTTGATAACGGACACATGGAACCGTTTATCTCTGCTGATGAAATCTGCATCACTCTGACCGAAGCAGACCGCTCCACACGATGATGCCCAGTGCTGATATTGCCCGTTGGTTTGATGTATTTGGCTTTGATCTGACTTTGCAGTTGTCACAAATAGATTACATTGAACCCTTTTACCCTGTTATGCCTCTGACACTACCAAAGCTCCACTTAGAGCCTCAGTGAGATTATCTGAACTAAAGTTTCTATCCAGGGGCTTATTCAGTGCAAAGGTACACAAAATTAGATAAGACAAATACATTTCAAGTTCAAGTTCAAGGTCCTTTATTTGTCACATGCATATTTAAAGCCATGGCAGGGTCGGAGATAACGTTTCTCATATTTTTTTAAACCAGCAAAACACAGGAGCTTACAGGCCTGTCTTAGTGTGGAGCTATTGTTCTTTGTGTTGTTTGTATTGCATATACACACACACACACACACACACACACACACACACACACACACACACACACACATACATTAGAAGACTGAATCAAGAATGTAAACAAATCAGGGTAAAAAGTATCGCCCTGTAAAATGGATTTGGGAAATTTAATTTTGCTTCTCTTTGTGATCGTTTTCCATGTTTTATGATCATTGCACAGTTATTAGCACCTGGCTCCTTTTTTTGGTAGCTTCTTGATAGCGCTGCAGTTTTGATGTAGATCTGTGGCCATCTTTCTGTCACACCTTAGTAGTTTGTGTTCCTGGTCACTTTGTCCTTGTCATTTCTGCTCTTATCTTCAATGCTTTTGTGTCCCTGTAGTAAGTGTTGCGTCTCTGGGTGTGTGCGCAGAGTGTTTGATCAATGATGTCAGCCTCTGACTAGAAGGCATTTAAAAATCACATGGAAGCTGTTGTTTGGCGTTTAACATCTGACAATATGCCATTTATCCAATGTGCAGTGTAACATTTCATCCACTCGGTCCCAGCTATACCGGCTCATCAGCTGTTAGCTGCCTGCAGACTTTTAGTAAGTCCCCCTCCCACCTTTGCTCTGTCCAAAAGTTCAACAGTGACACTGACAAACATTACAAAGAACATGAGCTGGAGGTTTTCTCCCTGCTGTTAGGGACACATGTCAGTCACTAAAGCTTAAATCTAGACGTGGTGTGTGGTAAAGCAGGTTGAAATGTTTTTTTTAATTACTCCCCAAAATGTCCACTGATCGTAAAAAAACCCCCAAAACATCTATTGTTGCTTCTACTCAACATACTTGTTGGAGTGAGAGACTAGAAATTTCACTATCTAAGTGCATCTGCTGCTTCCTCTTTTTGCCTTGAATTGAGTACCGGCATGTTAAAAAAAAAAAAACCCTCAGTGAGATCATAACGCAGCTAAACACGTTACACCATTTAAGGAAGTGTCACCCAGCCTCTGCTGAACAAAGGGCCATTCTGTTCTGCTTCATGCATGAATTTGCATTTCTTCAGCGATCATGCGCCAGTGTCATTTATAACAGCAAGCCTGTGAATGTGACCGCCTTCGCAGCAGTTTGCCAACACAGCGGAGCAGCAGTGCAATAAGAGCGGCACGAAGACAGCTGCTGCAGATGTTTGATTGTGACATTCGTCAAAAACTGTCAAGCTCAAGTTGCCAACTTGACAGCTAATTTCTGACAGTTTTATCTTAAACAGTTAGTTTACTCTTTAGGTTGGTTATACACACAGAGACACTGGGAAGACTCAAACATGAGGGCGTAGCAGACACATCGTTTGCTCTGTAGTTTGACCTCCGCCCATTATTTTCTAGTCATTGATACATGCATACTCTTTCTGTAACTTTAAAGCTAGAATTAAAATCTAAGTGTACAGGTTTGTATCTAGTATGTCTTTAACATTAATTCAGATTTGCCACCACATCACAAGCTAGTGTGAGACAGTGACAATATACTGCAATACCTTTGAAGTATAGCACAAAGGGAGGCAATATTGCCATGTTAATATTGAATAATAATGATAATTTGCACAAAGATACAGCAATGATAGAGAATTCCAGCTTTTTTGGGGTATTTATTTATTTATTTTTCAGTTACAAAGATATCATGATATACTGTGCATGATTGTTTTGCAATGTATCACAGAGTCACTGGATTGTCTGACCATACCGTGATAATAACATGTCACGAGTTAATCTGAGTCCTACCCCTAGTCTCATCAGAAATACCCTGAGTATTCAATTCAATGTTATTTCATTCATAAAGCGGTAAATCACAACAACAGCTGCCCCGAGGTGCTTTATATTGTAAAATAGAGCCTCTACAATAATAGAGAGAAATCCCAACAAGCAAACAAGCCCCTTTGAGCAAGTATCAGTTAACAGTGGGAAGGAAGGCTCCTTTTTAACAGAACCGGGCTCAGGGAGGGGCAGTTATCTGGACTGAAAATCTGTCACAGTTCCTACACTATACAGAGGCACAGCAGTGAGTGTTTAAAACCCATCTGTAAAACACAGTGGAGACTCTGTCATGGTTTAGATTTGCATTTCAACCACAGATGTTGGCGATCTTGTCACAATTGATGGAATTACGAATGCAGAAAAGTACCGTCAGACTTTTATCAACCATGCAGTACCATCTGGAAACAGTCATTCCAAACACACTAACAGTACAAAAAAAGCACACAAAGCTAGTTTTCCATTGTGTTTTTCCCCATCAGTCATAGGTTGGCTCCATCAGCGCCTGGACCTTAACATAATGCATTTCAATTCTACTGTGTATCACATATGGTGATTCAAAGGGCTTCACATGCATAATTTAAAAAAATAAAAATAAAATAAAAATTCAAAAACTGCAACAGATGGATCCCCAATTTTTCTGTCAGGAGTACTGAACAGATTACAGTTTGGCAGTGGAGGAGCTAAAAGGGCATGTTGGACTATGAGGAGACAAAGTATTTTAACTTTAGTTCTGTAGGATACCACAAGCCAGTGTAGCTGAGACTGGACCAATACACTGTGTTTTATAACACAGAGAGATTTGCAAAACAGTTGCTAAAGAAGCTGTAAGCACCAAAGTCCATCATTTTACATAAGCTGGTCTGAGTGAAGAATAACAATTCTTTCTTCCCAAACTGATAACTGCGATACCATGAGGATAGAGCGGCAGTTAGTGGAGCAGCATGACAGAATAGAGCAAATAAATATCCAAACAGGAGCTTTTAATGTCCTCCAAGAAGCCTGAAGAACTGATCCTGGAGACTAACTAAAGAAATTACAAGAAAGCTTGGCTAAGAGAGTTCAGGCTGTGCTGGCGATTAAAGGCGATCAGACCGAATGTTGACTCTCAGGTTCATCAGAATTGTACAAACTCCGCTTTTGCTTTATGCACTGAATTTACATTTATGTTTGCACAGGTTTCAATAAAACATTGCATTCCCATTTTCCTGGCAAAATTACGAAATAAGGACAGGCTTGAGACTTTTGCACAGCACTGTACTTCACAGCAATTAAAAATCAAAACAAAAAGTATGACCTGAATGCCATCTCATTACAAACCGCCCATCTGGCTTGGCTTGTTTTTCTAGTCATTTTTCTTTCAGCTGAGGTTAATTACGTGGCTGAAACTGCAGCTTTAATCACAGACACGAGAACGTTGTGACAAACATTTTTCCTTCCTGTTACTTAACATCTCAGAACATGCCTTGCTGGCAGGCCCACCATGCACTGCTTTTGCATTTTGCCTCAACATCCTGTTTAAACAGGAAATACATAAAATTAAGTGCACATTGTACCATTTTACTGGGTGTTGAAAAAATGTAGGTAAATGTGCATTTTTAATGGCAATAACTAAACCGGCTGAGAAGCTCTGGAAGCAGAGCGTGAATTTGTACCTCTGAACGACAGACAGCTCTGCGGCTCGGCTGAGAGCGTCCCACAGAGGCCCAGTGTGTCTAATTAAATGTCAAGGGTGTTGTTTTATGACACTGTGTATCCACAGCAAACCTTCACTGGATATTTTCAACAACACGAGGAGCTATTTGGTAAAAATGCATGAAAAATAAAATGAAATGTGTAGAATGAAGGGCTTTTTAAATGCAGGATTTTGTTAATCCATGTTAGTTGCAGGTTTAGCTGCCCAGACAAGGATCGAACCAATCTTTGCTCAAACCTTTTTTCAGCGGAAGTTTTCAATGAATTTTTTTCCCCCAGCCTGGGACCAGAAAACCTACTGATAATGTACAGTCATGTGAAAAAGGAAGTTTTCACTGGTCTCTGCACAATCTGGTCAGAGCATTTGAGCATTTGTGTCAACAATTCCACCAGATTCCCAGGAAGCATGTGGAATTGTTAACATCTCTGCAAACTCACCCCAAGGTCAGACTGTGCAATGCCCAACAACTACATCTGAGACTCCACAGGCCCCAGAGTGGGTGGCTTCAAAGATGTGAGAGACTGCTAATTATACAGAAAACCTTTAAGTTACTGAATCACTTAGTTAATTTTTTTAAAGAAACAAGAGTCCTTTGAATACTCTTTTTCACATGATTGTATATTTAACTCCCATGATTGCAATGACACCATAGAATAATTTGCCAAATGCCAAAGATCAAATTTTAAGGTTATATGTAATGAAATTCTTGCATTGTCACTTAACTTCTCTCATAAAGTTGCAGGACTTAAGAGGAAGCCACAAAGTGTGCTGAAGATATTTCAGCTTCTCCCAAACCCTGTGTTAATGTGAAATGATCTGATCCTACATTTCCCATCAAGCAGCAGTATCTACTCCTATGGTTCTGTCATAAGCTCTCCAGTTATGACTTTAAAGTCTCCAAGCCCATTTCTAACACACGGACACCGCTGATATGAATTTTGCATGTACAGAATACCATTTTCCCTCCAGCCTAAAGCCTGAAAAACAAAGCAAATATATAAACAACTAAACTAATCATATCATCAAACACTTAAGTAACTAGCATTTGGTGCAATGTGCTTTATATTTGGGCCTGCAGGTAAGTGAGTCGTTCAAGGCCAGCAGAACACCACAAAGAACCCAGTGTGGACAACCTGGCTGGTCCCACAAAAACCTCTGTGATGTATTCTGCTCTCACCCAGCTGAACCTTCACTTCCTGTAACATCCAGGTCAGGCTGCTACATACCGAACACTTGCTCAGATCGCACAAGACCCACGAATATTTTGGTAACATCACCGATGTATGACAATCAATTTATGATAATCAGTTTCCCCTTTTCTTAAATACCTGCTTTCATACTTTCAAAGTAAGACCAGAAATAAATCACATGATGAGGGAATTTCCCTCATCTACAGGCAGATTTGGGAATTTTACAGATTAAAAGGAAACAACGTATAGTGGAAACTTTTTTTCTCCCCTGAGGTCGATACATCGGTTTGCGTTTAGGTCTTAAATAGCTCAAGCTTTGAGTCACAGCTACAACATCCATAACACGTGGCAACATAACTCCAGAAAACTGCCACCTGCATTTAACCCAGCATTGTTTTTGTGTTTCCCTCCTCACACGAAAGCCACAGACGTCCCCTCAATGGACTGCAGACTTTCTTTGGTTCAGCCTGTTTGCAGTTTACGGTGTAACGCGTAACACTGCCGAGACTCCACTGTGCGCAAAAACGCCCTCAGGTGTTTCCTCGCCAAACTTTCTTCACTTTTGTTTGCACTCACCGACAGTGGTGACCAGAGTGTTAGCGAAGAACATGGACGATGCCAGGTCCCAGTTTGAGGTAGCGGAGGCGTTTCTGATGAGGAAGACGCCGTACTTGTTGGCCGCCAGCACTTTGAACAGAAAGTTTTCGAGGGACGCGGCGCTGACGCAGCTCTGGTTCAGAAACTCCTTCTTCAGAACTTCCATATCATGTCGCAGCTTGTCCTCCATCGGCCGCTCGATGGTGGAGAAAATCAGGGCTCCGAAAAGCAGGTAGATGACATAAAACAATATAAAGCCTACGAGCAACAGCCACGACCTGCCTACTAAAGCCATGTCTTAGGTTTAGTTCTGGAGCTACTCACTCTGTTCCTCTCTTTTCCTCTTTGTGTGAAAACTATTCAGGGGCTGTCCTAATTGAACTTGAACCCCTCCTTGTCACTGCATCCTCCTCCCACAGCAGGAACAGGGGGTGTGTTCAGCTCAGAGTCCGTTGTGCATCCTGGGTCCTGCACGAATCCAGGTGCGTTTATTCGTTTATTAGACTTAAATGATCACATCTTTCCCGTGATACACCCGTCCCTAATTTCAAGAAAAGCCTGAAAAATATTACCACTGTTCTTAAGAATCACCAGAAAAAAAATAATCTCTGTGCTTGTAATAAAAAACGCCTGAAAAGAAAGAAAGAAAAAGACAAACTAGAATAATAGCGTCTTTTGGCTTTTTATGTGTTCAGGTAAAACCAGAGGGAGACACGGGCTCCAGCGTGTCTGTGGCAGGGCCAGACAACCATTCACACTCACACCTAGTGGTAATTTGGATTATCCAATTAACCTATCCCCACAAGCTGCATGTCTTTGGACGGAGTACCCGGAGAGAACCCACGCAAACACGGGAAGAATATGCAAACTCCACACAGAAAGACCCCGGCCTGATAGTGGAATTGAACTCAGGACCTTCTTGCTGTGCGGCAACAGTGCTAACCACCGTGCTACCGTGCTGCCTTACTTACGGAACAGTAATACCGTTTTTTTCTTGCGTATTACGGCCCAAAGTGTTTTTGCTTTTATTTCGCATGTTTTGGGCTCAGAGGAAGTCCACACCCTTCCACACATTTAGCCCTCCTGTGTCCTCCTCTGAATGTGCCATTCAATATTTTGATAAGCAGAAGAAAAGTCATTCTGGATCCTGATGATGATAAGAAGAAAACACCCTATGAAATCCACTAAATTCTTTTACTGTTCATAACTTTGTTCAGTAGTTCTTCATGTAAACTGAGTTTATTCTGCCACGGAGGAATTCTGGTCAATCAGTTTCCATGATATCCATGATCATCCCACTGCCTTTCCACAGCATTTTTAATGTTCACACGGACAAAAGATGTATGATGATTTATTCTTGGACTATATTAGAACTGTTTATCTTGATTTAAAATTCAAAATAATCTTTATTTGTCTTACACTGGGCCTTTGTGTGGCACCCCAGTTCATCCTCTATCTGAAAGGTTGTTTTACTACCTTTACCCCTCCCTTTAAGAAAGTTTTTTGTTTTGCTGCTGATCAACTGCTGCTCACTGAACAACACCTGCACAACAGGTGGGTGGAGCTGTTGTGCCTGAGCTGACCAGGTACCGATGTCATCATAGAGAGCCAGGGAGAGAAAAAACCCAAAACTGTTTGAAGCATGAGCTTTTGGCTCAAAGGGATTGCTTGTACATTCATTGGTCTTATTTTTCAAAACTTCACGTCTCATCCATCCATCCCTTCTGCTTATTCAATTCAGGGTCACAGGGGGCTGCAGCCTTTCCAAGCTACCATAGTGGGGGACATCCTGGACAGCTCGTGACCATTACAGGTCCCCTTTAATTAAAAGTCCCTTCAGCAGCTACAAGTGGGAGTGTAGTAATTTTGAATTTTATCTCTAAGTACACCATGTTGCAAAAACATATAATTTGTTCCATTTGTTTAGTTGAATCTATGGAAACTGCAAAAGATAAGGCATACAATGGTATTTGTGCAACAACAAGGGGATTCCCAAACGGCTCTTGGCCAAAAACTTGGCATATGTCAGCATATGTAGTGTGCAGTGTGGACATAAAAAATTTAAAGAAACTGGACAAGTTAGTCAATGTTTTGGGAAAAAACAAAAGTTGAATTATCTGAAATTCATGTCCTTAAAGGGGAAAAAAATCCTGCAAAGACCTGACACAGGCCTGAGAGACACATCTGGCCCTTCGGTTGATCCAGCTGTTCATGAAGCCTCAGCAGAAATGGTCACAGTGTAAGGGAGGCTGTCAAGAAGCCCGTCTTAAGGAAGGGAACAGAGAGAAATATGCCAGATTACACTAGAACTGGACTGAAACTGGTCTTATACCGCGATTAAGCCAAATTTAGTCCTAACCCCACCATCATTAGAGCAGCGTGGAATCATCATGACAGAGAACAAGCTGCAAAGAAGCGCTTTGAATGTCCTTCAAGAAGCCTGGACAGCTATGCATGTCATCTGTACTGTATTTCCCACAAATGTTGGACTTCCCCTTTAACTCAAGTTGGCGGAAACTTAACTGATCTGCCGCTTCATGTGAAGGTCAGATGGGAGTTCCTGGGCTGTTCGGCTCTTACCCAGCGGTTACTAGGTACAACAAAACACTCTCACTGTGCTCTGTTTGCTTCTCCTGGAAGTAATCGCTGGCTTGTCTGTGCTGTTTATGCATAAGGCCAGCTGACTCATGCGGTGTAAACGGTGAGGTCAGGGCAGTCTGCTGCTCATCTGCCTGTTTTCTACCCTGCAGTATAAAGCTCTGTTATGATAGCACAGCGGGCAGACAGCTGCTCTGACTCAGCAAATAAAGTGCTTAACTCTCTCTGCGCCACTGATCTCGGAAAGAGGTGATGGTGACATGCCACACAGGATAATCTCGCTAATACTGGATTATTTATCACGTTAAAAAGTGAACCAGTCCATGTCTTCAGCTTCTGATAAAATAAAATTTATTAGGCGATAGTGCTGCTAAAGCTGAAATAAGATATGATCTTCTATAAATATGAAAAAATTCCTTTACGTTGTATTTACAGGCATCTGTATGCAGTGATTTTGTGAATCACTTCAGCCACTCTCGCAGTCTGCAACATGAATTATTACATGCAAGAACGCAGCTTGATATTTTACACGCTGTTTTCCTCACACGATGTCCCAGTTGGTTATCACAATGTGCACTATTATATGTCCTTGTATTAATAGTCAGGCTGTGATGGTAAACAGCCAACAGGCCAGAAATCTTTTGCCGTGTGACCAGCAGCTTTTTACCAGTTCAGCAGCTGTTATCAACTTTGTCTTTTTTTGAAGCCACATTTAAAACACAGGCCATCAAATTTAGCAGACGTTTGGCTTGTTTTCTGATGTTCCACACCGTTTTGCATATGTTACAGAAGCAGCATTAAGTGTCATTAATCCTGCAGAAGTTGATGACTGTTCACATATTCAATACCAGGGATTTTATTCTAAAGTAGACATTTACAGATTTTACTTTTCCTGATGATGTAATATTTTCTAAAAATCAACATAATGCAATGTTTTTGCATGACAGAGTCAAAGTGAGACTAATTTTAATTGCTTTGCAGGTAATTAACTGAATTCTGCCCTGTAGACTAATGAAACCTTTGACCTGCTGGAGGGTACGTGACAGTAAAAGGCAGATATAACAAAATGCATTAGGCTCTATGTGCAACAAATATTTAATGAAAATCAATTAAATAGATGTCATTAAAAGCCAACATTAAATGGTGCTAGAATAAAAGCGGGGACATTATCATGAGTCCTTCAAACATGGCCTGCAGCTCTGAACTTTTCTCAACACCGCCCAACAGTGGTGACCATCACACGGTGTTTAACTCTCCAGTTCCCAAAATACGACAGATTATGAAACTGTGAGGACAGAGCAGTAAATATTTACAGCTAGTGAGAGGAGATGTGTGTTACGCCCCCTGTCGGTGCAGCTCCTTTGCCTTGAACCATGTGGAGTATCTCCAGAGGTGGAGACATGTTTGAAGCTAAATGTGAAACAGGATGATTGCAGAAAATATCGTGACCTTATTCTCCTCAAACTTCCTCAAGTGAAAGTGTGAAAATGACAGTCTATTAAATGTTTGGTCAGTTTTTAACCAAAGCAGAAAAATTTGTTTCTATTTTGGTTTCACAGTTAATTTTCAGAATTTTCTTGTTTCAGTTTAGTTTACAGCTTCTGTTTGTCAGGCGCACAACAGTTTTTATTCTCGAGAAACATTCCTATCAAAGCCTCTTCAGGTTAAGTTGTCTTGATAAATTATATCAATGGCTTTCACAAAGACGAAACATATTTTCTGCATCTATATATTTCCTGTATAAGAAACATGGACCAAAGTTATGGACTTATGAACAAAGTCCCACGCTAATCCATAGAGCAATAAAGTAGATATATGCTAATATATTAATTAGAATAATGTGCAGCAATTTTGGCACAGAGTAAACCTAAAACATATTTATGTTCATTAACTGTTTGGTCGGATTCCAGAAATCTGAGGATAGGTCATCACCCACTGACAGCTGGTAACCGTGAATCTGATAAGTGGTTAGGAAAAAAGATGGATGGGTTTGAATGTTTTTCATGACAAGCTCAATGAAAAACCCTCATTGACTCCATGAGACGTCAGCTGAATTACGTCAGGTCTGACTTCTTCTTGGTCTGTCTGGGAAATATTTGTTCGTTTCGTAATATTTACAAAGGTTGAGTGAGTGGATTTCAAAATGTTCAAACATGGCCCAGAAGAGCAGACCATGTGATGATTTTATCCGAGTTACTAGTCAGCCAGTGGTTCCCTCTTCATGAAATCAACAGGTCACATAATTCTGCATGTCAGGAGGAAGCATTAGCCAGCACGCAGTATCATTTTATTACATCAGTCAACAAGGCGACAGCTGGATCCTCCTCATTGTGACAGAAAATATCCAATTTTTTCAAGAATTTGAATGTTGTATAAATGGCACACACACACACACACACACACACGCACACACACACACACACACGACTGATTCTGAATTTCATCACAGATGACAGAGTTAACAATTGAAATACACAACAGAGCGACTTAAAGTTTTCTGAGGTGACACAAATTGGAAACGCGGCGCATGATCGGCATAATGTGAACAATATTCTCATAAAATATCATTTTGACTGGCAGCTAAATTCAAGTTTTGCCCATGAAGTGGACTCGACTACAGAACAGCGCTGAACTAAAACGAATGTACTGAAACATTCGGCAGACAAGAAGCGAGACAGAAAGACAAAGAAAGAAAAAGGTGGAACATCACATGCTTTTGTTGAGTCCACTTCAGTGTGTTTGAGAAACAAGACAAACATTTCCTCCTGAAATCACTTCCGTAACCTCGTAAACATTGGCACTTTCTCTGTTGGCACTAACTGGAAGACAAACTTGTTTCTCTGAGGAACCAGAACAAAGTTGAGACCTGTTCCTGTCACTGGCTTTTCAGTAGCAAATACACAATGAAAGCACATGCATCAAAATGTCAAATGTAAACAAAATTAAAACAAAATGTCTTGATCTTTCTTTAGTACTCATTATTATATCTGCTCTAGGCTTTTGAAAAAAATAACAATGCTCAACTTTGATCTTCTGTGTGATGACACGACTAGACAAAAGGTTTTTCTGTTACTTCTACTGAACGTGTGCATGAATCCAGGTGATGGTGACATCTGTAGAGGTGCTACAGACAGGAAAACTGAGGAGGAGTGAAGCTGTTACAAAGGGTCAGGCCACCACATTAATGGAGCTACAGAACAAAAACAAGCATCGTGTCATCGAGTCTTCTTCTCTAATTAAACCCAGAGATCTTTTCCGGGAGGAAGACTGGAACTTTATGCTACTTTCATAAAACGTGGCTGGAAATATAACTACAAATCTAGTTTTCTGGATAGTTCCCATTTACCTGACTTGGCACTCAATAATACAGACATGTATGCCTCCATCACAATCGCTTATTAGTCCAATTTGAAATAGCTGAAAAGTACAGATGCTTGGGTAATTTAAAATGTCATGTTGACACAGTTTGTCTTGTACCTGTTCTGCTCATTCAAAATTCACACTGGCCATTGATGCAGACGCCCAGCTCATACTCCGTCTGAAAGCTGTATTAGAGCCTCTCCTGATTGGTTTGAACATAGGTAGGCGGGGCTTTAGTGCTCACAGCCACACCTGTGTGACTGAAATGATATGTAGGAAAAAAGTAGAAAAAAAAGTGTGTTTGGAGTAGTGTGACGTCAGAGCTTTAGGCTCAATATTTGAACCCATGTTTAACACGAGCATCCATCAATGTAAGAGTATATACATGACAGGAAATAAGGAGAAGTTGCATGAAGTTCCCCTTGCATGAAGTAAAGCTGTGTCTTCATGAGTTATAAATGGCTTGAAACTTAACCAATAACCCCAGATGTTCTTCCCCTTTCAGCCTGACATATTCTATGAATATGCTTACAGTATACAGCATATAGTATATGAAGAATGCCAGTTTTTCAGAACTGGGATTTTCCTACTTAATAAAAAAATCTATTTCAAATTTAAACTGTAGTGTAGTGCAACATTATTTTGTTTGTCTGTTAGATCAGCAACACTGGAGGCAATAACTTTTTGCCCCAATTACACTCTTCCATATCTGCACGACAAAAAAGAGAGACTGCAAATGAAAGCTAAACAACCGGCATGTCAGAGTTCCAAAATCATGAATAACAGGGCCGCCAATGTGTGTAAAACGATGTCTTGTATACCACAAAAGGTTGATTCTGTTCATCTGGACGTAGCGATTTCAGTGGGAGAAACGTTTCGTCACTCATCAAAGTGACTTCTTCTTCCTTAAATATTTATTTTTATTATTTAAGTTCACCCCATGTGAGTTTTATCTCCTTTATATTTATTCTACCCTTGAGACAAAAAGCAGTGGTACTTCAGATCTATTTCTGTTTATGGAGGAAATATATTAGAGTGCCTTTAAGGTGGCGGCGTGTACCTTGTAACAGGTCACAATGCTCCAAAGAATCTCAGTAGATAAGGTGGAGACTTAATGGGTGGTAGTGGTGATAGTGAACAAGGTGATAAACACGTGATATAAAAAAAACCACTCCCCCAGTATACATCAGCAGGTGGTGGAGGAGACACCAGCTCTCCTCACTGTCTCAGGCTTAAATAACCAGGAAGTGTGCAAAGAGTCAGCAGGTCGATGAGTGCTTGACTTGCAGTTTAACATGCTGTGAATCCGGAGCCTCGGGAAACATGTTAAAACCTGGAGTCCTTCATTGTGGATGCTGACAGCCAAACCAGAGCTGAGGTCCACAGAGTTACTCCATGATGTTCCTGTTGAAGTCATAGGACAGCCGTCGCTTAGCAGCGGCATGTTGAGCATGCTGATTGGCTGAGGGGAGGCCAGGGGAGAGGCGGCAGTTTGCTGTCGAGGAAGCAGGTCTGCTTTCCTGCAAAGATGAAAACTAAAATCAGCAACACAGCTGACTACAGCGTAGTTTATCAACTAGCCAGAGAGAAGGTTACAACAAATATGAACAAATGATAAAATCAAATCCATAATTATAGAATTATTGACTTGTCGTAGGCTCAAAGCCCACAGTGCCATTAGCTCTGATTAGGATGACACAGCAGATGTGAGCGTGGTTTCCCTGCGGATCTTACAATGAAGACCAATTATCAGAACTGTGAGGTGTGAGCCCAGACGAGGAGGGGAGCACTGACAACCTTGTAGAAAAAACACCTCACACTCCCCTCTCTCTTTCAGGACGCCTGATCTGTAAATAAACTGAGATTTCTAATCTGAGAGTTGAACTGGACTCTGCCTCCTTATAACAAAACTTCCATTTGGATCTGCAAACGCACACATAAACACACAAATCTGGAAAACATCAACATCACCGGAATTCTGCTGGTGCAAGAATTCTTGCACCAGAATTCTGCTGGTGCAAGAATTCTTGCACCAGAATTCTGCTGGTGCAAGTGTCCTCAGCTATGCTGCCACCTGCTACTTTTCCCTTTGTTATCTTGAATCTATTGTTTGAGTCTGTCCTTTTTCCTTGTCAGATTGTCCCTCATGGCCGTGCATCTCCTTGTTCTGTGTCTCCTTGAAGTTTGCTAGTATTTGAATTCTTTGCTCTTGCTTTAGATTTTGTATTAATATGAATATTCAGTATTAAAACTGTTTTTTTTTTAGTTCATTCCTGTTTCCAGTTGTTCTGAGTTTGCGTCCACAACCTGCTTGTCACATAGCCATCATATAACACATGATATCTATGGCGGTGAGTTACAGTCAGTGATTACACTGCTATGTTGTCAGTTTAAAATGTAGTAATACCTATAATGAGCATGAACCATTAGCAGTAGTTCAGGCAGACCGTAAAGTCGAGCTCTGTCACAAGATCAGCTGATATTGATAAAAGCTCCAATCAGCTGATGGTTCAGCTGATCCTCTTACGGGCAAGAAATACATGCTGTGGATCTGCAGCCTGATTTGCAACCCAACCACAGCTTTTTTCAGAGCCATACCACCAAATATAGATTACTCCAAATAAAAACCCATTATTTGACTCTAGCTGTCCTGGCTCCACATCAATCATCCAGTTCTAATAAGTCTGTAGAGATTATATAAAGCATTTCGACACAGTTCCTCTAAAGCAAGCTACAAATGTTACTTTAAAAGGCATCAGATCTTTTTGGATCAAACAAAACACAGCTGTTACAGAAAGAGGCCACCTACCAAACCCCTTTCCTGAGTAAAGCACTGTCAGCTATATTTACTGCAATATACAACTTACAAAAAGCAATGAATCACATTGAAATTGAACATATTTGTTCACATTGGCAACTTTGATTGGTAGTGAGGAGGATTACAAAATTTGTGAGCAAGGGAAGTTATCTGAAAAATATGGAAAAAGACATTCCTGTGCCAAACAGAGCCATCTATCAGGAAAATCTAGGTAACGCTAACAAGGGAGCCGAAGAGACAGCAAACATCCCCTCTGACAGAAACGTGGCCTACTTCAAAAGAGCACTCGATCTGAACCAGAGGCAGCAAGACTGCTGAAGGTACTGCGTTAGGTCCAGATGCTGCAAAAGTGCCTGCAATCAAAAGACATACTGACAACATTTCAGACTATTTTCTGCAGAAATAAACAAAATAAAAGTTCACCTTCAAATTTTGGCTTGCACTAAACACCCGACAGCTGAAACACCACCCTACTTCATCCTGTCCTCCACTGTTGTCGCCTGCGTAAACAATATCACTTTGACCTTCAGTGAACATTTGATTTGTGCATGCTTTATCATTGCTGCACAGCCAGTACGACACATGTAAACATCTATTGTCTGATAAACTGTAGGCCCCCATGTCAGCGCTGCACGTTTGCACATCTGGATATAACCCAGATTTCAAATATACTACCTCAAGTCCCGTCTCTTTTCAGCCGAGGGCATCTTTAACCTTAAACAGCAACACTTTGCTTCTCCTTTTTTTGGTCATTCCTTCCAATTACCTTAAAGCTCCACACCTCTTTTGCTTGTTTTCTCAATGTGTCTAACAATATTCCTCTATTATAGCCCATCCCGGTGGTAATTTCTTGTAGCTTGTATCAATAACCTTGGCTATTTTGTTAATCTGCAGAGGTTTTAGCTTTTGTAGTTCCTAGCTTAGCATAATTTTATCGTACCAGTCTCAATTTGATTTTTTTTAATCAGTTACCTTTCTTTAAAAATTCAAAACATCATAAACGTTATCACATAGAACTATTCTCAGTCTTCTATCTTTATGTCTGAACTGTTAATTAGAAAGGTTACTGAAGACTTTATAATTTAATAATTGCTCGATTAGAAAATAACACCCCAGTCAAATGATAATGAAAACCAAAAAGTGGTATTTTCACACCACATCCAGTAGCAAAGTAATTAAACAGCAATAACTTATATTTGAATTTATGTAGAGTGAAAGATGCAGCATTGTGGAAAAATTAACGACGAAGACTATAATTGAGTAAAATAAGACCTTTGTGATGAGATGATTTATCTGCTGCTGCAAATTGGCCCTCTGCTGTAACCCAGTTTAAAATATAACGAAGCAGGGACAAGTGAAAAAAGAAGCATAGATAAAATGATCATTAAATTCACATTTCACGCACTGTGATAATGTTGATTGCTGCTTCTGGCCTGTAGCAAGCAGTCACACAGTGGACGGGTAAACCCCACACTTGCATATTTCGAAGGTGCCTTGTAGCTTTCTGATGTGACTCGGTTCAGCAGCGCGCCCGGGGCTGTTCGTGTACTGAGCGTTCTGCATAAAACAGCAGTCGCATCATTTGAATGAGGCTGCAGGTTTCAAGGCTATCGGTCAAACAGCACTATCAGTTCGTGTTACATGTTAAGGCTGTGTTGACGAATTCAATTTAACAACCGCGAAGCTTCACAAATTGAAAGTGAACACTAAGTGCTCTGTGCTAATTCCCCTGCAGCAAATTAGGAGTAAAGAGACGGAACATTTGCTGTAAAATTTGATTTCTTTCTATCAGATTGTGAACACTGAAACATGTCCACAGCGAGCGATTAAGACGCACTTGTCTCCAAAGCTGCTGGGCTCGCATTTCCATGTGCATGGTGTCGGTCTTTACTCACAGTGTGCGGCTGCTCCAGGTGTAAAGTCTTCAGCAGCAGGTTACGAGACACGCCGTTGGCTCTCTTGTATCTCTGGCCGATCATTTTGTTCAAGTCGTGGAAATTGTCCAACAGCCTAAAGGTTCAAAGACACAGACACGCGATTTCATGCACAAGAAGAACATTTGTTTTAAATGATTGCTTCTCAAAGATTCAAGATCAAGATTCTGTATAGGAGTCAAAAGCTCAGACTGCAGACTGCTCCAAACGCTTGGTTTCCTACTCTGCTTCAAGTGGTATAGTGGTTAACACATTCATCTTACACACAAAAGATCCCCAGTTCAAGACAGGGAGGAGACGCATTCCCAGCCTGAGGGGTCACAAGCCTGGATAAAGAGGAGGGTATGTGGTGTAAAACTTCTACAAAATCCAATATGGATGCAATCTGCTGTGGCGAACCTTTGGGATAGAAGTACGTTTCTTTCTCTGTCCTATGTGACAGTGTGGTCAGCATGGTCATCTTTGTTTGTGACCACAGAAGGTGGTTTTGCGACCACTAGAATAGTTCCCAGGTTTTTTCAAGGGTAGCTGCACAGGCAGAGAGCACCCTCACCAACCCAGTCATTTTGTTCTGTAAGCATATCTGAAATTCAAGGGTTGGTCCTATTAGGCTGTCCATGGGTACAAAGTTAAAAACATGTTTGCTCTGACAGGTTATAGTCAATTCTAACAGTTCCTTGAAATGTAGTTGCACTTCACACAGTCACCACTAGGTGGCCACATTTTCTTTCAACTTGTCAACGTATAGTGTTTTATCTCGTAAAACCACCAACACCATAAAAGAACATCAAATTATGCATTTTGTATTCATTCCTGTTTGACTCGAGTAAAATGACACAAATGATTTAGAGAAATTCAGTGTTGGAGGGACAAGGAGGTAATTTTGTGAATAATTCCATTAAAAAAGGACTTGTATGTATAATGATATATTTTTTAAATGAACCCATACAGATTGTTTAAAATGAAAGTTTCCCTGAATGATAGTTTTTGGTAATTGTTACGAGTATTTTCTTTAAAAACAAGTATGAATATTTAAGAAAAAGAGTCAACATTATGTAAGGAAAACACAGTATTTCTGTTAAAATGGTGAATTTATGGAATAGTTTTATGAAGAAGAAAAAGTTCAATATTTATGAGAAAGATCTAAAAAGATCTTGTTGTTCTCTTTTATCAAATCAATTTGGAGAATTGAAGGGTTTGGTGAAGGATGACAATCTGTCAAAATACAATCATAAAAATTTGCAGGAGTAAAACTGAGTCTGATGATTTTGGGGGTCTGATCCATTCAGTACAGAGTACTTATGCAATAATATAGAAATCAAAACAGTATTTATGACTGGTTTCATTAGCCCTGAATCACAGCCTACTTTATCATCCTTCTAGACACTAGTGGGAAACATCCCATCCAATCTCTTCCGCTTATCCTAGTGGGAAACGGTGGGAAACACACGTTACTAAATTAAACTTATGCTGTCTTTGGTGAAAGCTGAAACTAATGATTGAAACCAGGAAAGTGTTTACTGATGGCATGGATAAAGAGAGCTGAAGAATGTACATTGAAGGTACTTGTGCACCAACTTCACTCAGGTTCTTAGGTTTATTCCCATCCATCTTTTATCTAGAGCCATCGTTACACATGATGGCCTTCGTCAGCACGGTTCACCTACCCCTGGTCGTGGGTTGCTCCGCCTCTGAGGAGCTGGCTCAGTGTGGGAACAGTACTGAGGTCACAGGAGTCACTTGAGGATGAACCAGTAAATGAGGGGAAGGCTTCAGCAAAGACAGCCGCCTGCAGTAAATACAGAGAGAGCTCATCAAATACAGCTTGAGAGCTCAGCACACCGCAAGAAAACAGTCAAAACACAAGCATCAAAAACACATTTGCAGCATTTAGGAAAAAATATGCATTTATGGTTCATTACATGAAAAGTTAATACTTTATTTTCATAAAGGTCTCCTTGTGGCACCACAGGCACATGAACCAACTTATTTAAAAACAGCCAGTCTCCTCTCACTCTGCTTCACTGCAGTTTTGGGCAGGGCTCATTTTTCATCTGCATCTTTGCACTGTGCTTAATGTCCACTGGGAGACTCTCCCCGCAGTGCTGACTTCTTATTTTTAAATTTTATTTTTAAGGAGAAAAAAAAAAGCTGGGGTAATGTGAGTTATAACGCTGGAGAAAATACTGATTAATTTTTACTCATAAAACTTAGTCACTCCTCCTGCAGGGTTACATCAGGGTGAGCCGTGTTTCCATGGTAATGGCACAGCCAACTGAGAAAAAGGGGGAAATTTTAGGTACAGACATATACACTTTCAACTGGATAAGAATTAGTGACCCACACAGATAACACTAAAATCACCCCATCTCTCACCAAAAAACAAATCCTGCACGAACAGAGATTTGGACGTGAAACTAAACTCCTTCTCTAAGTTATAGCCAAGATACAATACACACACGAAGGTTTTTGCACATTTCACCCAGGGCCAGCTATATCTACCAGACACTAAGAATAGCAGATGGAGCAAATAATGCATAGATTTAAACTTGAATAATTCTTTTCTACTGCATGATCCACAGGGGACTGAGTAACTACACAAATAACTCCCTGAATCCACCGAGCATCCCTGATCGATGGTACAGGAAGTGCAAACAGAGGTTAGAGTCACAGAGACAAACCACGCAAGACAGAAATTCAATGCTGTGACACAAATGAACCAATCCTGAGGAGTTTGTGGACTCAGTGAAGTGGATGTAATGGCCACTTTAGCTCTTACTGAACAAACAGAACCGTTTTTATAGCAGTTACTGAAGGACAACTGTACCAGGTTCTGATTGGCTGAGAGTCTGTCTCTCCTCTCCTCCACAGCACTGGCTGGCCACCACTGCTCCACAACGTCTCCACCTTCATCTGATGAATCCTGAGGGAAGGCTGTCCAGGTGTCGCCTGACTGGTGGAACGAGCTGTCCGTCTTGCCTGGCGTCCAGAGGGTCGACTCACTGGTGATAGCATGCTTCCCAAGTGCTGTTATCAAACACACACACAGGCACATGCACATTAAGTCTTAGTACATAGTATGTACTTTCGATGCTCTTAAAGGACAATAATGGGCATTAACCCTGTATTATAATACAGCAACAGCAGCATTGGTGCTAAAGGTGACAATAATTACTAGGATGCCTTCCAAACGGGGCCAGTTTATCCAAATGAATGAAGAATCCCAATAACTGTTTTGTACAAATGTCCACAATCGTTTTTAAATGCTGGAAAATTAAATTAAATTCTACAGACCCTACAACACATCCAACTAATAATTTAAGAAATCTCTGTCTGATCTTTGCATATCTTCACTAACTGTTTATTCAGTCTACTTAAACCTTGACAAGATGGTTCCAGTTCATGGAGTCTTACTGTTGCAGACTAAACCGTTCCTGTCGTCCTCATGTGCTCTGTGCAGACGGATGCAGCTAACCTATAAAATAGACCTGATGCTTTTTAAAGGGAGGTACAGTATTTTTCATGCGACACCTGGAACAGACTTAATCTTCTGTGACCAAGAACTGGAAAAACAGTTCAGAAGATGGATGGACAGACAATATGTGCATCCAAAATACTGTTGACCAGTCCTGTCCTGTCCACTGCTGCCCCTCCCTTCCACTGGAGGGTTCTTCCTGTTAAAAGGGAGTTTTTCCTTCCCACTGTTTCCCAGTGCTTGTTAATAGGAGGTCGTCTGATTGATGGGGAGTTCTCTGTATTATTATTGGGTCTTTACCTTTCAATATAAAGTGTTGTTTTGATTTGGAGCTATATAAACATATTTAATTGAATTAAACAGAATTAGAAAGTAGTATAACACAGAAACACTTAAAGTACAAGCCCATGAATGCTGGTCAGGTTGTACCATCAGTTTTATCCATGCTGTCACGCTCTGATGCTCTAAAAATTAAACTCATTTCTCACAAAGATAGTGGTTATATTTTTTTATTTCCATTTATGTTGTTTGGATGAGTGGTTTGTGAGAAAGCTGCAGCTGTCTTAAACAGTTCAGCGAACTCACAGACACACACACACACACACACACACACACACACACACACACACACACTTTTTCACCGAATGTAACATCCAAAGCAGTAACTTTGTTTTTCCTGCATGTGATGCATTTAGGGGACACCTGTAAATCTTGGTTACGGAGGCACCATGCTAATATTATAAATTATTATTAGATGTGCCAGAATTAAAACCCACAGTTTTAGTAGCTCTTCAGCTTTCTATTTGTCAGCAGCACAGCAAGACAACTTGCATTTATTATTCTGTTAATCACCTTGTCGTATCATTGTGTTGTCTATGGCTGTGACTGCTTCCTGCTGTTGCTTAAAAAGTTGCCTGCTGTACCAGACTCTGCAGGACTCTTTGAGTTTGTATGTTGGACTTTAATCTCACCGCGACATCTCACTGCGTGGAAACATTTCAGCGAATATTTGTATCTCTCTTCGATCCCTGCTGCTTTGACACATCTACACGTCGCTCTCCATTGCTCGGTGTATTTATCCGACGATGTATCTATCAGACACTTGTCTGTGAGACTGTTTCCTTTTCACCCGTTGCCTAATAATCTGAGGCTAACAGGAGAGCTCACTGGCCTGTTTGCTTCCTCCCCCTCTCTTAGCTCGACTCTGAATGATTAATACCGTGTAGTGAGACGGGGAGATCAGTTAGGAATCCAGGTCAGGACAAACTACAGTCTTATTTCCACTGTGCTGGTAAGTGATGCCTACCAAGGCAAGAAAGAACTCTGCATTTTTATCACAAGATTAAAAGTACTACTGGTCAACAACTTATTTACGTCATCTAAGTTACAGCATGTGCTTGAGTGTACAATGATTAGCTGTATGATTATCAGGCTGCCTTACTTTAACTCTTTACTCCCATTTCAGGCCTGTTTACAGAACAAATTGACTAAGTTTGCATCACATGTTAGTGAGGGTGGTCGCTGCCTTTGCAGGTACCCTTCAAATGACATCTTTATTGATATACACTGAGGGATCAAATGTATCATTATGGAGGAATGAGTTAAAACAACCTGTTCCGGAACACACTTCCAATCAAATGTTTTTCCATGTTTTTTCTGCCTCTCACTACTTTTATTTCAAGCTAATTTTTTTCAACCTTGTTGTTATATTCAGTGTAGATTTATAATATGTATTTTCCCAGATTTCACACAGGCACAGCCAGACCTCTGTTTGCAAATGCTATGAAAGGTGTTTGTTACACTCATTCTTGTCTGTTGAAGTTTCTGTCTCCATCTTAGTACTGTAGCTATTTATTAAAAGACTTTTGGGTCATTGTGAACTACTTCACTTTATCCACTGTGTGAAACAAGTAGATTTATCTCCTCCTCCTTTTAAGCCAGCATTTTCCTGATTGGCTGGCCCTCATTGAGATGCTTAAACAGAATGTGGGTGGGGCTTCAGTGCCTGAGATTGCCTTATTAGGGATACCCATCATAAGTGACATCATACAGAGCCACGGATAGAAAAAAAACAACTTCAGCCATGTTTAATATGAACATTTGCTATTGTAACTCACATGTTTATTGAAAGCCCATTTTAATTACGAATAATTAAAACCAAAATAAACTAAAAGGCCAGATAAGTGTGAAAATATGCATAAGTAATGTGGGTGAAGCAAGCCTTTAGGTTTTATAGCTGGTCCTTTAATTTTTGCCCTTTTACATACATCAGTCCCTCTGATGATAAATGTTGACTGATAAGCCATCAGCAACATGTTAAAATAAACAGAAATACTTTTCAGTAGAACAGACTGAGACATAATTATGCACCAACCTCAGCACAGCCTCATTTAGCCCCCCTGTGGAAACTGGGCTTAACATGATTTAGGTGATTAGCTAAACGGAGCAGAATGAGGGATCATTACGACTGATTAACACCGGCTGTGAGAGAAAAACAACGAGGTGCAAGGAGTAAAAGATCTGACATACCTGCGCGTGTCTGCTTCAAGAGTGTAGCAGATAAGAGCCATCATACTGTCAGACTACTAATTAAATTCATTTATTTATGATTCAGGTACTAGCACTGCTTTATTTTGTTCATCATACAGTTCTTTAAAAAATCCAATAAAAATATTTTCTTCTCAATTACCTTCTTGCACTGAATGATGGTGTCCAATATTTTTTTAATTCCGCGTACCCAGGAAGCTTTGAGATGGGTTTGTTAGCAGGATTAGTCGAAAAGAATCAGGTAGATTTGTAGGAAAAGTTGTACCAAAGATAAGGAAGGGCCCAAATGCTTTTTGGAGTTGATCTCAGTCCAGTGTTTTTATTTTATCTTTTTGAATGGATCTTTTGAGGGCGACAATATTAAAAACCTGCAAAATATCTTGATGTTCTCTATAAAACACTAACTTAGATCCAGATAATTAGATCTCAATTCTTGAGGAGGGAGTTAACAAACAGTAAAAATTAAGTCTGCAGTATTTACATAGTACATAGTAATGCAGTTTAAGTAAGGACTTCCAGCTGCTTTATCCCCGCAAACACATCTTCATAAAATAGAAATTATAACAGCAGCAGGATTTTGGAAAGATAAAAGTAAAAACCCACTTGTGCATAACTACTTGTGCGCTTCTTGAAAACAGATTGTGTACACTTGCATTCCTCAAAGTGTACAAAAGGTTAAAAATGCACTAATTCTCTGAGGGAGTCGTTGCCATTCACTCTTTGTTTCCCCAACACAACACAAAGAGTGTTAAAAAGTCTAAATCTGCACATTTCTGACTTTTTTCTGAAAATCTCTGAAGCCTTTCTGTGTCAGCCTTGTTGTCCAGGACCAACAGATCCAAGCCTACAGCACACAGAAAGGCAAATTTACTAAAGATCCCAAAGGAGTGAAAGAGATACTAAAATGAGAGGAAAGCCTGGCTCGTAAACACAGAAAGGGACAGAGAATGAACAACCACGAGACTCACCAACACTCTCTCTGCTCCCACAAGGCACTGAGGCAGACATGGTGAACTCCTCGCTCCAGGCTGGCTCTCCCTCCGCCTGCATGAACACTCCAAACTCATCTTCCTCCTCCTCCTTCCTCCCTTCGTCAGTGGCCACGGTGGAGCCACTCTCCACCTCACCCTGCTCCTCCAGCTCTCTTCTCTTCCCTTCTTGGCCTCCTTCTCTGTCTCCTGCTGTTGCACTGACTGCCTCCTCCTCCTCCTCCTCCCTCTCCTGACAGGGCAGGCCGGTTGCCATGGATCCCAGGGTGGGCAGGGAAGGGGCAGGATTAGCCTGGGAGAGCGCAGGGGAGGTGGGGAGATTGGTGCAGGCAGTGTTAGTGATGTTAGTCTCTCCACTTGGTTCAACAGGGGCATTGCTTGTTTGTGCACAGGTGTATCCATCCTCCTCCTCCCACTTCCTGTGTTCATCTTCAACCTCCTGTAACCTCCAGTCTTCCTCTGAAGCACGGTTTATCTCTGTCCCTTCATAACTATCTTTGAGTGTGACTTCTCCTTTACATTCATCAGACTTCCGAATTTCCCCAGCTCCGTCTCCATGTTCAGGATTGAGGCTCTCTTCTAAATTTCCTTCTTCTGACTCCAGCTCATCTTTCGTCCCACATTTGCTGCTCTTGTCTGCCACAATCCTCTCGCCTGACTCAGAGATGGAATGATCTCCATCTGTGAGGGGTGAAGGTAACACTTCCTCCTCATTTTTAAACACAGATTGAGGTTTATTATGTAATACCTCATTCACAGTGGTTTTCTCATTGGCCTGTTCTTCTACCTCAGAGTTTTCTTCCTCTTGCTGATACCCCTCAACGTGATTCTCCTGCTCAGCCTGAACCCAACAAGTTTCACGGTCAGCACTGCAGACGCTGCCCTCTATGGGTGCGGCTGACTTGTTAAAAGTGAGGGAGACTGCAGTGCTGCTGGAGGCAGGCGTAAAGACTGCACACCAGCTGGAGAATTCATCAAGAGCCTCGCTGATGTTCTCCTTTTCATCTTTAACATCTGCACACTCAGCCCTTTTCTCTGATTCTTCACCTGCTTCATCGAGATCAGAAAATCCGTTTACATTAGCCCCTTCTTCTTCTTCACGGGGACATTCACTTGGTTTTCTCTCAGTAACGCTGGTCTTATGTCTTAAATTATCAGTCAACCCAGAATGTCCATGGGTGACGATATTTCCTTCAGTGTATCTGTCCCCTTGTTCCTCTGAATAGCCATCCTTGCTCTGAGAAGCTTGTGTCTTCTGCCCCTCGCTGCTCTCAGTTTCTCCCACATCGCAGCTGTCGTGGGAGTCACTGTAAGAACGGGTAGATTCTAGGTCAGGGTTTAGTTCAGTCAAAACAGAGCTGGAAGACTCTGACTTGCCGAGGCCTCCCTTATCCTCCTCTTCATTCTTTTGCCTTTCCTTCCTCATTCCCGTCACCTCACTGTTCAGCCTGTTCGGGATGCCTCCCTCGTGTCCATCCTGGCTTTTCCTCCTCTGTGCTCTCCTTCCACACTGGACGCAGGATTTAGGAGAAACGCTGTGGCTGCATCTGGCTCGCCGGCTGTCCTGCTGTGGGGTGGGAAACTGTTTACAGTCCGGGCCTCCTTTGTCTTGCTCTTCCTGCCTTTCTTCCACAGCGATTTCACCAGCAGGAACTTCCCTGCTCCTCTGCTGCCTCTCTCTGCTCACGCCTGTTTTCTCCCGGCACGCTGCATTGCCAGACTTCCTCCATCTCCGCCCCGATCGCACCCTAACCCGGTTTGCTCCAGTCTGTGCCGGTGGAGTTGGCCCAGCTGGAGTGTCTCTGCGTCCTCCTCCTACTCCAGTCTTTCCTCTCAGCCATCCTCCGACCACACTGGATGCTGCACTGGTTGTCACTCCAGAGTTGGGCTTAGCTGCTGAATACAAACAGCTTCCTTTCTCAGTCCGGAGGAACAAACACTGAGTCTGAGTCTTCCCGCTGCCCTCTGAGGTCTTCAGAGTGGCAACTGTTACCAAAGCTCCGATTCCAGCCTGCCTACTGTCCACCCCCAGCGGAAGCCCATATCCCATGCGACCCCACTCACCACTCAGGCAAACATCTGCAGGCCTGGGGCAGGACGCTGAACTTCCTCGACCTGCAGGAGGAGCTGTGGGTGCTTGTCCTCCTCCCAGCAGATTAGCAGTCTTGTGGCGATTCCTGGAACACAGGGCCCAGGCTCGGAGACCCCGAATGAGCGGCAGATCTGCCAGTCCCAGCTCCAGTCGGCTGGGGAAGGGCAGAGAGGCTCTGGAGCATTTCTGTAGCATCTCCCGGCTAGAGCCTGACATGCTCAGGCACGGGTAGTTGTTGTTGTTATTCTGCTGGAGCATAGTGCTTGTTGTGGGCCTCATCTATGTTTTATTGGTTGGTTTTTGCTTATCCTTTATTAAAATGCAGCCTGTCGGCTCAAGTTCAATTCTCATTTGTGAGAGGGAGCGCTGCCACAATCAAGAATCTATTCTTGATTCACAGCCTGACAGCTCAAAGGTAAAAAGATCATGATTTAGAAAAACATCACTAGGCACTATGAAACAGCTAAAACAAATTTCTCACTGATTAATTCTGACAGTGGTACCGAAGACGATGTTTCCTAACATGGCCGGAGGGAGATGAATCTCCTTGTAATCTCATATCTTAGCAGATTATTCTGACTGCATCTGAAGACAGAATCAGTTGTTTTTCTGACGGGCGACCTGCCACTGTTTGCATCTATAACTCCTCAACTTAGAAAGTCTCCTGATGAAGAAGAGAAACATGCAGGTGTGATGTCCAGCTGTCAGTGCTGATGAGAGCAAGGGAAATGAGAAGTTTGTTTTCTTCCAGGCTGACGCTCAGTGACGCTGTCTCCAGAGCTTCGCCGCCCTCCCCGTTCACTGGCCTCTCCTCACTGAGGACTGACTCAGCTGTCACAGAGCACCCTGCAGGGGAATGGGTAAAATAAATAAATAAAACAAACATGGAAATTAAAGACTCATAGTGCAGACTTATTATAAGGTAGTGTGATATGATTAAAGAGCAAGGATCCCGCCAAGAGGAGGCCCAATCCAGCAAATGAATAAAAAGCTTAAATATTAAAATTATTTAATGCTGACTTCACTTTGGTTTGGCTCAATGGGTTGCAGCTGTAAGTCAGTGTGGGAGGTGTGAGTCTGTCAGAGGTCATGCATTTGAATCCAAAGTGACTTCTTTTCCCACTACTCCGACCCAAACAGGCTCTTTTATATATATGAAAATGGGAACTGACACCATTTGCATTGTGGTGAGAATTAGATTAGTTGTTGCATCAGCCACACACAATCATCCAGTAGACTAAAAACGAAACACAGGTGGCCATAAACCCATAAATCCACTTCTCCTGCCCACACAGCTTAAAGGATTTACCCGAAGAGCATCAATAACCCGCCACATAAGCGACGAAAATAGGTTTGAGCCACGTATGTCATACTTAGCCTACTCCTATCAGCACCACTGTGATGAAGATGAGCCACGTCAAACCACACAGTGTACCAGCACTACCTGTGTTCCCAGCCAGCATGTCCTGAGAGGGATGCCCACAGCCGAGTGCTCATTGTTTCTTACCTTTTTCGAACCCCCGGGGTCTCAGGTCCAGGCTCTGGATTAAGTGTCCTTTACTTAATGCCCCTCTGCTTCCTTATTGTTTACAGACGAAGCCTATTCCCCCTCCTCTCGGGCTCTGGAGCATCCTAAAGTGGAATCAGCGCCGCCTCATCTTTCTACTCGGCCTGCACCACAAACGTTACAAATCGCTCGAACATCCATTCAGTCCTGTCCCATCGTTTAAATCAGAGCACAGCCTCTTTTTTTTCGCTCTCTCTTCCCGACTCGTTCAGCCATTGCGCATCATCTCATCCGCCGCGGCTCGGCATCGTGCGCCGCCGCATCTTACCGCAGTAGCCTCCGGTGTGCACAGCGAGCAGGATGACGAAGAGCTAATTTGACTTACAGCCCACTCACTGATAGGAGGCGTGATTCGTGCCACACAGAGCAGGGAGAGGTGAGGCGAGCGGAAGTGTATGGAGGGTTCGTGATGCCACACTTAGGGAGAAAGAACACACTGGTCTAAAATAGAACAAACAGAATCTATTTGTTTGCTACTGGGAGCTTCAGACCTAGATCTAGAATTTAACACAAATTTATCATATGTACGTTGATTTCTGACATTTTCAGAGGTGAATGTAACATGTAATAAAAACACAGTGTCTGGAATTTTAACCATTCCCCATTAAAATAGTTTAAATGTGTTTATTCTGAAAAAAACAACCAAAGAAAATGGGACATTTTTGAAAAAATGTGTTTTTTAAGTACAAGTGAAAGAATCCCAGTAGCAAAATTATTATTGAATGGTGAGTTAATTAATATAACTATTAGAAAAAGTAACAAATCACAGAAAAATATGGCTACTTTTGCTTTTTCTGGGCACACTCCCGGTTTCTCTGATGTATTCCTGAGATATGACAAGCAGCTTTCTCTGAAAATACTTAACAATAAAATTAGTTGATTTTTTTTCAGTGTGCAGCAGAAAAATATACACAAGAGAAACAGTTACGGAAAGTGAAAATGTCACCCACAGGTCACCTATGAAAGTATTTGTGTTCTCTCCATGTTTCTATAAGCTTTTGAAATAAAGGAGTAAATATTCTGAAATTTTAGAGGTCATTTTTTATATTACTTGTTAGCTTAATTTGCCAAAATTACCAGTAGACTAGCCACAGGTGTCTGTGTTTACATAAGTCACTTGGTCTACAGTGCTACTGTTTATGTAATGGTTGAGTTTCATTGCATTAATAACTGTTTATTTTTCTACTCACTGTATTATCTACATTATCTATATTAGGACAGTGAGTTAGTCACCTATCAGGGAGCCAGTACCTGTGCTTGTTGTAGTAAAAGTGCAGACTAGATGCTACTTTCACCCATTGTTTATGATTTTACCGTTTTTTTTGTGTGTGACAGCATATTGGATATTAAGGTACAGTGTGGAGTATGTTTAAATTGTTATGACACCATCTAAGAGGCCTTGATTTTAGTTTCAGTGATTAAAATTCTAGTAATTTATGTTTCCATTGCTTAGCATTAGCATTTACCTTGCTAACCTCTTGCTAACGGAACTTGCAAGGATTCATCCAAATATGGTTAATTCCGGCTCCAAACAAATACAACAACAACAAAAACACCCTGGTATTAGCCAAAAGAAACTTTATTTTAAAAGGGATGAAATTATGAGATTTTAAAAATGCTGAAATTGTTCAGTGAACTGAAAACAGTAAGTTTGTAGCTGGTGATGCTGCACTTTCCCCTGTCTCTGCTTCATGGCATTGTTTACTCCTCATACAGCATTAGTGTAGCCTCACATACTCTCACCAGAGAGCCTACGTTTTCACAGCATCATCACAGCAGCAGATGAGTAGATTGGGAGACACACACAGACACACACACACACATAGAAAGAAGACGTCATACATCCATGTGCACAATTTACTTTTTCCCTCCAAAGTCCTCCTCTCCAGACATTTTCAATAAGCCTCATTCGTGTGCTATGGATCTTTTTCATAACTCTAATATAAACAGGCCAGTATAGTCAAAATATTCAAAAAGAAATACATTAAAGATTATTAAGAGTCTTAATTATTTTTCTGGATTTAAATGGGCTTCCAGACCACTGCGTTTCTTATATTAGGAATTTAAAATGTACATGTTGTGCTTTGTTCATATGTTCTGTCATACTCTTAAATGGTGTATGCTTATATTAAATAAAGTGGTTTTCAAATAATGAGGCCAGTATACACACACCATAAATTGCTATAAACTGCTTTAAATAGCCTTTTCAGTCATTTTTTTAATACCCTTGGCTAGGGATGATGTCATAGAGGGAGGATCTCCCTAATATGGTCAATTAAGGCACAAAGTGCTACACACAAGCTCCACCTACCCGTTGCCCCTGTGAGGGGCATCGATTCAGGGGGCAGTTGGTTTATGAAAGTTGGGTGGCCTTAAAGTGAAGATCTAAAAACAGCTTGTTTCAGACATTTAATGAAGTGAGGATCTGCACCAAGGCCCAGCTTATGATGAAGAATAACTCTGAGATGAGAATTATGCAATATAAAAATATGGAGTAGGAAATAATGTTGTCTCTTTGAAAATTTCACTGAAATGTATTTAAAATTTGACTACAGGACAGAAGACTTTTTGTGTGAATATTACTTTATTTAAGTAACATCTTTACAAACATTCCTTCAATGCAGCTCTGACAAAACACTTGCCACTGAAACCCTTAGAATCAAAAAGAAATTCGAAGACCTCGTTAAACCAGAAAGTTAAAAATCTCTCTGCATGTACAACCTGCCTCAGTGCGCGTTACCTTCACATGTCACTACTCGTCTCAGCTTTTTTATTAAAGCTCTAGTTCTCAGCTGCAAAAAAAGGCACTGTGCTAAACGTTGTTAATGAGACAACTCTTTTATGGATTCATGCATTTTACCACGCAGCTTCATTCCATCAGTCAACCAAATAAAGGAAACATAAAAGTGTTTATTCTTAAATGTTTTACATCTACTTGAAAATAGAAAACCTTTCAAAAAGCCTGATTGGTGTATCATCTAAGGTAGGACGTTTTAACAGAATACCAGAAAAATTACAAACATGTTTATAAATGGTAAGTTCTTTGTTTATAAATTAAACTTAAATATCAAAATTTAGAGACATAAAAACTGATATTCAAGAAGATTATTCCATTTTAAAACAGTTTATACATTAAATAGTAGATACATTGTTTAAATTGTACTGGGCAAAGGCACTTAAAGTTTCAATCACTCCGACAGTAATTTTTGGTGTTTTTAGAAATATTTATAACTCTGTTTTCTGCCTTTTTTTCTAACACGATTGCTTTGCAACAAGATCAAGACACGCCACCCCCACTAGTCTCACTCTAGCAGCCTTTTAGCAACTTGGATCAACAGAATAAACTTTACAGTTTCCTCTCTAAAATTTCTGAATTTCTGGTTTAAATCCCCAAATTTCCATCCAGCTCACTGCTGATGTTTTGAAACGCAACAATACTTAACAGCCGAGCTTCAGAAATATCAGTGTATTTTAAAGCTACAGCCTCATTCACAAAAAATACAGTGGTGCCCTTTTTTTTTGGCATTGTACAGTAAAAACATTAATAAAAAATATATTAGCAGCAGGTTGGGCTAAATATTTGAGAGCAACCTATAACCAGATAGTCACAGGTTTGATCCCCACAGCAGATAAAGAGTCCAGAGCGTCCTGCTTACTCACTGACCGTCTCTGGGAAAAAAAAAAAAGCACAGGCTAAATGTGCTAATATATAAAACTATGGCAAAAAAAAGCCCATAATCTCAGAAAGTTCACACTTTTTCTTCAAGATAAACAAAACATTGTTTCAGGTCAAAACAATATCATTTATGCTTTGGTAAATATGAAAATACATTTTGAACTGAAAAGGAAACAGCTTCAAAAAAGCAATTATATTGTTTTATTTACATAAATATTCCTCTGGCCTACGTTGTGATGGTTCATAATGAAATATTTTTAAATGATCATGGAACTGAATCATGAACCATGAAGTCGATGTGAGTAAAAGACTCTTTCCAGCGCATTTCAAACACAAAACAAAAATAAATAATGAAGCAGTCCGACATGTTTACATTCAGAGTGAAACCTTTAAAAACCAAACAAAATCGGATAAATAATTTGGACTAAACTAACAAACCGTAACAAAAAAAGTCGTCACATGTAAGATGAGAGAAGGAAATATATAGTAATCTTTAGCTATAATAATGACAATAATACTGCTTGATGTAATGTTATTGTAGTTCATCACATTCATACATCATCTATGAAAATATAATATAAATTTTTTTGTTAAGGCACAGATGAACCCCAAATTAATATACACGGTGTTCCTCTGGGCTATGTTACTATTTATCCATCTAAATTGATTTGGTTAGAGTTGCCCAGTTTTGGCGATATTAGCTGGAGAAATGATGTGTGGAGCCCACAAATAATCAGTTCAAAAAAGTTCAGTAGATAAACAGCACTACAGGTCAGAAGAAAAAACTAATGTATCACTAATTTGGGGATGAATTGTCCTTTTATTAGAGGTTTACTTTATATTAACACGGCAACCTCACAAAAAAACTAAACAACAAATAACAAGAAAAGTAAAATACATTAAAGATACCATTCCAGCATCTTCAGTACTTTGACACCTGGTGAGCTGCTGTTGTTGTCTTTGTTGTTGCTGTGGTCGTTGAAGACTCGTCTGTTCGTGTTTCAGCCAGGTGGGTGATTCTGGTAGTCTTTGTCACCATGGTGACAGTTCCCTCCTCGGAGGAAGAGATTTGGTGCTCTTCGGTCATTTGCGAGGTGGTGAAGTCGAGCCCTGAGGTGTGGAGGCAGAAAGACCCCGAGACATCTGCCTCACCCCCTACCTCACCTTTCTGCTGGGCCTGAGGAGAACTCTCTGGAGTTATCTGGAGGAAGCCTGCGGTAGGTAGGCCAGGAAATAAGAGAAATGAAAGGAAAAGAGGAGGATAGGTGAAGAAATCAAGAGGGAAAAGAAACTTAGTCTTATGTAGAAGAGACAAAACAGAAGAGTATATAGATTAGTGATTTATTTACCAGGAACACAAAAAAATATACAAAAAACATCAAAGGTAGCAGCAAGAATAAAGTATAGATAGTGTAAAGTATATTCTAATAAATCCTGTAGTAATATAGTGAAAAAACCCAGTAAAATCCAGACATAACATATGAGAACCACATGCAAAATTGATTAAACATCATTTTTGAATGTGTAGACTTTTACAGTTTTTCATTTTCTCATTTATATGCTGATCTATAGTCTCGAGTCTTACAGTTCTCATAATGCAACTAAACGGGCCAATTTAATAGACGGGGTAGATACAAATTTAGATTTTTCTAAATTTTCAATGTAGTGCTTTGATAAAAAAAATCTCTATTTTCTTGTCCTTACCATATCTATTAAAATATATAAGAGCTCAGGCTATGCATTTTTCTTAAAGAAACATGAAACACTGGATGACTAGTCTTTTAGTGTGGCAATGCACAGTGATTCAAATGAATGCAGAAGAATTTAAAGCTGACTGGGTTGGGTTCAAAACCTGCACTAAAACTTTCTGGTAAAATGCTGCCATCTTGTGGTGAAGTTTTTAATTAAATATCTCAGAGGGTTTTTACAAAAAGCGGCTTTAATAATAACATTAACAGCAGTATTGACGTAATGCCAGCCCAATAGCATCTCCTTTAGCCTTACCTGTGGCATGTGGCTTCAAGGTGACCTTTGGGACCTTAAACCATGAGGAAGACTCTCTCTCTTCTGATTCCCTGCTTTTGCTCTCCACCTTGCTCCAAGCTTGAAACTTTGTTGAGGTGAACTCTGTGGCAAAACCAGAAGGGGACTCTGAGCTGTCCCTGTCCAGCATTTCTGTTCTGGCACGAGAAGACACCAAATCCTTCAAAGGCTCCTCAGTGAAACCCCCTGGTAACATTGTGCTTGATTGTACTTCTTCTGGTGATGAATGCTTTCCCAGTTCCCCACTTGTTTCCATGTCTGCTCCTCTTGCACCCGTCTTCCCATATAGACTGGTGAACTCCACCTTTGGGAGTTTGATTTTACCACTGAATGCCACCTTCTCTTCCTTGGAGCCCTTGTGAGGGCTTTCACCATTGAGACTTGAACTTGAACCTTCTCTTTTGACAGTGTCACCACCAAATGATGCAGATTTGCCAGACGAAAACGACACTTTAGGCATCTTTATTCTTCCCCCCTTTGACTTTTCTTCTTCTGCCCCTTCTTTTTCTGCACTTGCAGCAGCTGACTTTTCTTTGGACTTTCCAAAGCTTGGCTTCTTTTTGATTTTGGGCATCTTCACTTTGACAGTCTCTGTCTCAGCCTCAGCCATTGCTTCCCCTTTTAAGGGACTTGTGCTTGTAGCAGGCTCATTTGTTGGAGGAGTGTCTACCAAGACAAAAACCGCTTTCTTTACTTTAGGCATTTTAGGGCCCTCATACTGAATTTCTGGCCCATGGACATTCACACTTTCCTCTGGTGAGGATAGGGAGGGTAATGGGACGCCAAACTTAGGGATTTTGATTTTCTTGCCTTTTTCTGTTTTGCTGTTATCTCCATCTTGAGATGAGCCAATATCAAACTCTATGTCTGGTATTTTGGGGACTCTGATTCCTGCATGTGGAGATGAGGAGCCACCCTCTCCTTTCACTTCTGTTTTTAGACTTACACTTGGTAATGTAACTTCTGGTACTGGATGGTTAACACGATTTTTGTCACCTTTATGACCATTCTGGGTTTCAACTTCAAAATACTCAAATCTTTCTCCACCGTTTTTCTTTTTTGGCATTCCAATCTTGAATTTTGTTCCTTTGACTTTAGGCCCTTTTACTTTGCTGCTGGTTTCTGTAGTGACATCTAAGTCAGGTAGATCAACTTTTTTCCTGTCCTTTTTGCCCTCCCCTTTGTGAAGTCCAGTATCAAGTTCTAAGCCTCCTTTTGGACCTTTGATATCTATTGTCGGGACTTTTAATTTTAGGCCTTTGTGCTCACCCTCAAAATGCAAATCAGCTTCTCCAAGAACCCCAGTGTCCAGATCAGCCTTACCACTTGGTAAGTTAATCTCTGCTTCAGTGGTTTTAGCCATTGGCAGTAGTATTTCTCCCTCTGGAACTTTAATATCAGAACTGGTTACTTTCATCTCTACAACAGATACCTCACTACCTTTACTTTTGCCTTTCGGGAGTGAAATATCAACTTTTGGCATCTTGATATCTGGCAGTTTGATGATTCCTCCCTCTGTCTCCATTTTCTCTGCTGGTGTATCAATGTTTACTTTTCCCTTGGGAAGTGATATGCCCACATTTGGCATCTTGAACTCTCCTCTATCTCCCCTGATATCTGCCTCAGGACCTCGCACTGAAGGTTTTCCTTTAGGAAGAGAAATGTCAACTTTTGGCATCCTGAATATTCCTCCCTCACCCTTAATTGCAGCGTTGGCACCTTCAGTCTCTCCCGTTGGAAGTGAAATATTGACTGAAGGCACTGTCATATGTGGCATTTTGCTGCCATCTCCCTCAATTTCAATCTCTCCTTTAATTTTGCCAGCTTTTCCTTTGGGTAGAGAGACGTTAAAACCTGGCATTTTGACCTGAGGCATTCTGATCCCCCCCCCTGCACCTCCTTCCAGCTCGATCTCTGCACCTTCTGTTTTTCCTTTAGGTAGTGAAATATCAACTGAAGGCATATTGATGTGGGGCATCTTGAATTTTCCAGCTTCTCCTTTGATCTCTACATCTCGAACTCCTGGACTTTCAACTTTTACTTTAGGTAGAGAAACATCAACATTCATTTCGATATCTGCACCTTCAATCTTTCCCTTGGGTGCTGAAATATCAACTGAAGGCATTTTCATTTGTGGTGTTTTGAATTTCGCTCTTTCATTTCCTTCTGTTTCAGTCTCTGCATCTCCAGTCTTTCCGCTGGGCAGTGAAATATCAACAGAGGGCATGCTTAGATGTGGTATCTTAAATTTCCCACCTTCCCCCTTTAACTCCACTTCTGGACCTTCAATCTGTCCTTTGGTTAGAGAGATATCAACATCTGGCTTTTTCCAGTGAGGCATCTTAAATTTTCCTTGGCCATGTCCTTCTACTTCAACATCTGGACCTCCAATCTTCCCTTTGGGCAATGAAATATCAACAGAAGGCATGCTTAGATGTGGCATCTTGAATTTTCCACCTTCTCCTTGAATCTCTATCTCTGGACCTTCAATATGACCTTTAGGCAGAGAAACATCAGCATTGGGCATTTTCAGATAAGGTGTTTTGACTTTTGCTTCTCCTTGTCCATCCACTTCTATTTCTGCCTCAGTACCTTTGAGTTTTCCTTTAGGAAGCGATATGTCAATGTTGGGCATTTTTAACTTTCCCTCTGTAGTCTCCTTCATTTCTAAATCTGGTGAATCAGTCTTTGCTTTTGGAAGTGAAATATCAAGTGCAGGCATATTAAAATGAGGCCTTTTGAATTTTCCGTCACCCCCTTTTAGCTCCAGGTCTGGTCCTTCAATCTTTGGAGACTTTCCTCTGGGCAAGGACACATCAAGGTCTAATTTGGGGAGAGAAACATCAATCGTTGGCATTTTGGGAATTTTAAGGTTTCCCTCATAACCTCTTATATCAGCCTCTGTAACATCAACTTCTGCTTTTGGGAGAAGAACCTCAGTCTCTGGTGTTTTAGCTGCTGGTAACGAGAGCTCAACAGAAGGCATCTTGACCTTGGTTTTAGCTTCAAGGTCACCACTTGGCTTACCTAGGTCTTTTTCTTTAGAGACAAAGCCTGGGATAGAAAACTTTGGCAGTTTTAAAGAGACGTCAGGTGCATGGAAGCCACCTTTTGCCTCTACATCTGCATCCAGTTTTGCTTCAACTTTCTCCTCTGGGAGTTCACTTTTGGGTGATGATATTTTTAACTTGGGAAATTTCATTTTGTATTTTGACATGTCATCTGAGTTGTCAACATTGATATCTGGTTGATGAATGTCAATTTTTCCCTTTTTCCCTTTAACATCAACATCAGGACAAGAGACTGATACATCTGCAGCCTTCTTGGACATGCCAAATGAGGGCAGTTTGATTTTAGGTTTTTTCACCTTGACTTTTCCACCTCCATCAAACTCCACCGATGGTGCTCTGATCTCTCCTTCTACATGTGGTGAACTGAGTGAAGTATCTCCCTTAGGTACTGGTATTTCCAAGTTACAGCTCTTTGTCTTTCCCCCAAACCTAGGAAGAGTGAAACTAGGTACTTTGAGGAAAACAGGTAGATCAAAGCTGCCCCCTGAAGAAGGCCTCCCTCCTTCTGCTTTCAGAAGTTCTACTTCCACATCATCACCTTTGGGTTTTGTAAGGCCAAAATTGAGATCCATCTTTGGAGCTGAGATGTCAACTGTTGGTAGTTTTACTGTGGGAAGTTTTAGGGATGCACCTGGACCTTCTAGACCACCTGTCTCTATATCTTCATTCTTAACTTCCAATTTGGCAGGATTAAGGCCTCCTGTAAGACCAGACATCTCCAAATCTCCAGATGCATCAGGACTTAGAGTATCAACTTTGAAGCCTTTAGCTTTTACACCAGAGGGCAGGCTGAGGTCAAGGTCAAATTTGGGCAGATTTATGTCAAGACTTGGCATATGGAATCCACCTCCTTTTTTATCAACTTCAACCTTCGGGATATCAAACCTTCCTTTTTCAGAGAGTCCTTCAATATTGATATCTCCCTCTACGGTACCCTCTGGAACTGTAACCTTTTCTCCCTTCACGTTGGGTCCTTCCACTTTGATATCACCTTCTGGGAAGTTCATCTTTGGAAGTGAAATATCAACTTTGGGCATTGTGAATTTGCGTCCTTTATTGCCAGGACCTTCGATGTTGAGGTCAACTTCAGCTTTTCCTTCAGGTAGTAAAATCTCAAACCCTGGACATGCACCTTCTATGTTGAATTGAGGTCCCGTTGCTTTGATTTTAGGAAGAGAGACAGATGGCATATGAAACCTTCCACCCTTTTCAGCATGCCCGTCAATTTCTCCGTGTGCTTTTGCTTTAGGGAGTGAAATATCAATTTCGGGTATCTCAGTTGTCCCACCTTTAGTATCAGGGCCCTTTATTTTTACACCACCTTCTGGGAGACTGACTTTAGGCAAAGAAACATCAAATTTTGGCATTTTGAATTTGCTCCTTTTCATCTCAGGGCCCTCGACATCAAGGCTGCCCTCAACCTTTCCTTTAGGAAGTGAAACATCAACAGATGGAATTTTGATGTTCCCTCCCTTGACATCAGGACCCTCAAGAGTGACATCAACATCTGGAGACTTCATTTTGGGTAGTGAGAGATCCAATGATGGCATGTCGACAGTGGGCAATTTAAATTTCCCCCCTTTAATATCTGGACCTTGGAGG